GGAGAGGCAATAACTTACTTCCTTATAATTACCACCTTCCTGCCTCCCTCTCATTTGGATTTTAATTCTAATTTATCATTATTGACAGACGGTAAGAATTTACAGTTAGCATTCAGTTTAATCAATAATCCAAGGCTTTTAAATCCAGTCTTGGAACCAGCTCAAGGTGAAGAGTGACAGAAAAATGCTGCGAAAAAGTCTGTCTGGACAGTAACTGAGTGAAATCCTGTGTTAAAACCTACGAAAAAACCAAAGGGAACACTTTACCTACTCCACAAGGCAAACACAGCGACACAATCCAGACCAGTGTGATATAGTCTAGGTCCCGTCACGTGACCGAGACCACTTGGCCTCTCTGTGTCTGGTGTGCACACACGTTCACTTGCTGCAAATTAGTTTAACATCTGGTCGAGAGCTGGGGAGTTAAAAGGCTCCTAAAAGAGCTGGAGGATAAAGAAGTGTGGAGGAAAGAAAGGAGGAGATAGATGAATTGACTGAAGAATGAAGGAGAGGGGGAATTAAAAAAAAGGGCGAGGAGGGACGAAGGAAAAAATGGGATAGATTTTGGCTGGCTGATGTCTCCAGCAGGAGGAAATGCTTAGCACATTTTCCGGCTCCGTGCGCATGGGAGATATTTTTAGCTCTGAAGGGCTGATCAGACGGGGTCCATAAATTCCCCCGAACAGGCAAGGTAAAGGAAGTGAGAGCACACTTTATCACTTGCAGCAGGAACCCCGACCAATATGGGGAGCGGGCTCCACAATGCGACGCATAGTTCGACTGGACGGGATGTTATTCTATAGACGCTATTAACAACTGCACGTTTTAAGGTCCCCCAGCAATCTGCCCGGAGGAAGCGAGGAGTGTTTTTACAGACCCCACAGAGGGTGAACAGGAAAGGCTGGGCAGTGTGATCCCACCTCCTGTCCAGACGCTATATGTGAAAACTGAAAGCTTTAAAAGTGAAGTGCAGAGACACTTAAGGTGTATTTGAGAAAAAAAAAAGAAAAAGAATCCCACCATGTTATGATCTCACTCGTCTAAGCATCATGTGACCACATGTTCCTGCGTGTGTTTCCAGGGCTCTAATATAACGGACACGTGCACGGAGATGCTCATGCAGGGAGTTCTGTTGAAGATTTCAGCTGGAAACATACAGGAGAGGATTTTCTTCCTTTTCGACAAACTCCTGGTCTACTGCAAGAAGAAGAACAGGTGTTTACACTGACTCATTAATTTAGTGAATCATCTGCCCCCTTTTAACTTAAAGTGAAACATATTTTACATGGACTTTGCTTTTGAATTATTTAGTAACTGGTGAAAATAATGTTTGCTTCCTATATTGTGTGAAAACACCCTTGCATTTAGAGAATCAATATTACCGGACTTAAATTGTTGAGTCATATTTTTAGTAATTAAAAACAAACACAGACCTGAGGTTTTCATCATTGACTAGAAAAGACAAAATCTAGAGATTTAAATGCTATTATTTCATTTACTTTTCTTTCTCTGTTCACCTGCAGTTTGTTCAGAGCTTCATAAATAATTCACTGCACCACATTTTTGTTCTTTGCTTTTATGAAGACTGAATGAAGGGGAGCAGTGCACTGTGGGTAAAATATGTTCTTCATGGAAGTGCTGAAAGAAAAGCCATGTTACAATCTTTCATTGAGCCCAACAATGTGACATTTATTACAATGAGTGCAATCTGAGTCAGGAAACTTTGGCTGATTGCGGAGCATTGTTGTCCCTCTGCAGGCAGAGACCGTAATGAATAGGCAGCAACTCTAGAAAACACACACAGGTTCTGCTTTACACACACACACACACCGAGCTGCTGCTGCTGCTGCTGCTGCTAACAAAGCAGGTACATCCATCCCATGTGTTTTTGTTTGCCACCTGCTTTGATCTGCTTTTACTGAATGTTCTCCGTCTGCAGGTAGTAGCTCAGAGCAGGTTTAAAAAAAAATACAAAAAGAAAAGAAAAACATTGCCCTGACCAGAATTCAATAGCTCACCTGATGTGGTTACATTTCACTCCATCAATTTAATTAGTACATACGGGGAAACGTATGCATGTGAATGTCATTAGCCTCTTAAACAGGTCCTTAATGTACAACGAGTGGGACTAATTACTCTGAAGGTTTGGTTAAACAGCATTAACATTAACACATGTCTTTGATTGTCTTTGTTCAAGGCGTTTAAAAAACAGTAAAACGGCCACAGATGGTCCTCGCTACCTGTTCAGAGGGAGAATCAACACTGAGGTGATGGAGGTGGAAAATGTGGACGACGGCACGGGTGAGTGGCTCCGCTGGAAGTGCTGGTGTTGACTTTGGACAAACGTGGGCCTGATTTGTCCTTTTCTCATTCTTTTCTGCTCTTGCTTTTCATGTTTTCATTTTTTTTTATTCCAACCCTCTTGGCAGCAGAAGGTTTAAAAATGTGCCATAATCACCCACACAAGAACAATGACAACACACTCTCTGTTCCCAGCTGCTGCACAACTGTGTGATTTTATGCTCAGGGTTTGCCAATGGAAAAAATAAGATTTACCTTTAAACATTTTTTAGAAATCTATAGTTACAGACACGGGACTCGGTGAACTCCGGCTCTTGTGTCTTTTGGCCTGACGCAGCCAATGATTACCATTTATATTTGTAGAAGCCGTCGTTTCCTGCACAGCAGGCTGAGATGGACAGTAATATTGGGTGTTTTTGGTGAGAGATGGAAGGGTTGGAGAGGGGGGGGGAGGGTTGCGGGGGGATAAACACGGAGGAAGGCGGTGGTGCAGTAAGTCGTGGGTGTTCTTCTCCAGAGGCGGGAGATCTCAATCTGAAGGGCGACAACAGTATTTTCGCCGAGATTCCAACACAGTACCACAGACTTCTTTTTCCCATGCACACACACACACACACACACACACACACACACACTTGCTCGCCTGAGGTTGACAGACGCCCTTGAGGCCTGCCTTGTAAAGGACAGCACTGTGTAGTTGTGATTTTGAATGATGATTGTAATGTGATGCTCCCTGTTACACCCTGTGAGTGGGGAAGTTGTAGGTCGTCTTCAGAGGCTTTTAAAATGTATCACTAATAAATGGAAACAATGACCAAGCTTCAACAGAGGGTCAAAGGTTAACATGCACTTGCAGCAGGTTCGGACATTCACCTGTCTCACATGTCCATTAACGTCCAGTACAAATAAGGCTGGTGCAGCCGCCTCTAGAAAATTCCATGTTCTTTGGAGGACTTTTGAGAATAATTAAGCAACACTGATGAATGATTTTTCTCCTTACCCTGTGTTCCATCGTTTGTCTCATTTATCGAGTCGAGCGATAATCAATAAAACACTCAATGAGGAGGCCACGAGGGCTTGGACAAGAGCAGGAAAAATGAGTCTCTAGTCGGTGTCTGCAGTGAAATAGAGGAAGATATTCCTACTATTTTAAATCAGTGCTGCTTCAGGCCAACAGATCATCCATCACTACAGGATTCTGCCCATTTTGTTCCTCCCCTCCGACGGCTCTTTATGTAACTCTGATGTGTCTGTGCTCTCCTCTGACTCACAGCCGACTACCACAGCAGCGGGAACATCGTCAACAATGGCTGGAAGATCCACAACACGGCCAAGAACAAGTGGTTCGTCTGCATGGCCAAGACCCCGGAGGAGAAGCAGGAGTGGCTGGAGGCCATCATGAAGGAGAGGGAGCGCAGGAAAAGTAAGACAGGGGCGGGGACCTGCTCACTTATTAAACGCTCAGGTTCAACTCTGTGAACTTTTATTCCTAACCGTAACGTATGCTGCATTTGAGGAGATCAATACGCAGCAATTTAGACTGCTGATTATTCAGCAGGTGAGAGTGAGAGACTCTCAGGGCGCTGTTTCAGGGCATCTTTGTTGAATGTGTCGGCAAGAAAAACACACAGAAAACACGTTCCTTTTGTGTAGGAGATAAACTTCACATTAACCCTGTCAGGACACAGTGAAGGTCAGACACTGAAAGTCACTGCTAATTACCTGGTGAAATCAGGAGACATTAACCTTCTCCTGTTTAGTAATTGATGTCACAGCTCGTACAGTTTAGAGCAGATTTATTATTAATGCCTTGATACTGACGACAGGCTTTTTTTCTTGCACCATCACTCCTTCTCTTTCACCTCCTCTTCCTCCTCCTGCTGTGCAGGTCTGAGGCTGGGCATGGAGCAGGATACGTGGGTGATGGTGTCAGAGAAGGGGGAGAAGCTCTACCACCTCATGACCAAGGGAAACCTCATTAAGGATCGGAAACGCAAGCTCACCACGTTCCCCAAGTGCTTCCTGGGAAGGTACGTCTCCAGCCGACCAGTGTTGTGTCCTTGTGGTTTCCTCCGGTGTGTGCCTGTTAGATACAGTGTGTATCTGTGGAGGAGTGGAACAGGACGACTGCGCCGCAAGGCCTCGCGCTTGAACCAGAATAAATATCTGCATCCAATTAAGTGCATTTGAACTCTCACCGCTTGTGGCTCTTTTTTGTTTCATGTAGGTCTCGTACGGTGTCAACAAAACACTTTGGAAATAAGGATCTGTTTCTTCAAGCGTGGTTTCATTTTTGAATGGGTAGGGATTTGTAAAAACACAGCAGCCCCGGTCGCTGCGTTCTGTTTCAGCAGACTTCATGTAACGCAAACTCAGTCATGGGAAAATAAATTCTAGACAGATTTATTCCATGAATCTCCTTTAAGGATTATTGCTGTGGTATCTGGGGACAGATTGGCCATTGAATGGCGGTCATAAATCAGTCGGGAGATATTCCTGTGCGACTCAGATGACTGGACACTTTTTACTCGCCCATGTTAGATTACAATAAACTCTGTGTTGAGGAATCCATGAGGTAACTATAGTAAGAAGCTGGCTGAAGTTAGAGGGCAGCTGTGTGTGGATCAGTGACGTGTTCATCTCCTGGTGTCTGTGACTTCTCACGCCCTGCTGTGAGTTAACATATCTCTACCTTCGTCTGCTGTGGCTCACTTTTAAACTAGACCTTTTCTTTTCTTTCAGTTTTTATTTATAGGTTGTACCAAAAATGTTGTCAGGATTTAATTGTATATTGAATTTAAAAACCCTGTGTTAAGCAGATCCACACACATATATCCACATATAGACAAACATGTACTGCAAACTTATACAACGTGGGTAACAATACTAATAACAAATATATACAAGCATACACACTTAAACATATATAGATAGATACATACACATACATATATAAAGTATACAATATACAATATATATATGTATATAAATATACATTCTGAAAACAGATGTTCTAAATATTGCATTCAGAGGAAGGACGTTTGAAATATAATATTTTCTTAAAGGAGTATTTAAACTGACAAGAAAACCTGTAAAAGTATTTGTCTCCTCTTTCTCAGTTTTTTAAAAAATACATAAAAATAGATGAATTGAACTAAAAAGAACCTAAATCTGTCTGCAGAGTTAGAATGGAAGCTAGCCCTACACGCTCCATAACATACAAAGTAAAAACACGAAACCACAGAAACAACAATGGAAAAGAGTAAAAATAATAGTAAAAACGCCAGGTGTAACAGAGTGATAATACTTGTTTGATTGAGTCTGAGAGCTGCTGACAGCAACTCTTAACTTCACTCGACTTCTCCTGCTGCAAAAGTAGAAAAAACTCTGTGTTGGAATCAGACTGTCAGAGGGTGAGAATGTGACAAATCAGGAAGATAAAATCTACAAACCTCTGGCTGCAGCCAAAAACCTTTTCATGTTTGAAAATAATACAAATAAAAAAGTCCATGTGACAGCCAGGAGTCTTTTTACTGGGTGACGACACCGTGTAATTTTAAAGCAGGTGGATGTTATTAAAGCTGCTCCTCGACCTTGACGTTTTAAATCCTGTAACAAATTAGCCTTGTAAGCGCTCCGTCACATCCCCCCAAAAAAGCCCCAAGTGTGAGTATTTGTTTTAAATTTTTCAAATAGACATTTGGACTGGTAATAATCACACTCAAAGTCACCCTTACGTAAACAGTCATTTTAGAATCCCTGTTATTTTTGAAAGCCTGGGGAGAAGAGAAATAACCCAAACGTCCAGTTGGACATAGTTGTGGCCAAGTTACATTTCATGGTGGTTTTGGAATGAGGAGTTCGTTTCTCCTTTGGTGCACGCAGACTACACCAGATCCCTTGTGGTCTCGGGGAGGAATGGATCAGTCAGCTAAAAAGATTAGACGGATCAAAGACTGGTCGTATGTAGACACCTTCCTGAGTCTGAACCGATCGTCGACGCACCTTTTGGATCAGAGTTGACTGAGAATTGTCTGTGGACGTCTTGTCCGTCACGATTACACGTGGGTGTAACCGTGAAGTCAGAAACCAGTGGTATTTCTATGATGGAATCGTGGCTTCCACTCGGCCCACTCCCTCCATTGTGAAATTCATAATCCTGTTTTACTTTATGATTTTCTTTTTTAAGGTCCAGAACTTTTTCTAAATTATGTCAGACTGGTTTCTACCAAGCCCCCCCTGCTGTTTGAACAGTATCATTAGCATGGCTTTTAAAACGAATGTGTCAATCACCTTAATTTATAGGTGAAATTAATTAGATTATTATAGCAGAATGACATTCAGAAGTCCATCCTTTCAATGTCGTTCTAATACACAGTAACTACACATGTTGTTATTTACACACACATTGAGGAAAAAATAATACTTTCAAGCTCCTCAAGTTCAAAATACAATTTTCATTAATTTTAAGTAATAGTTGACGTCCTTTTTACTCACCTCTGTTCCTACAGAGAGTTGAATAAGAGTGTGAAAAAACTTTTCTCAGCTTTGGAAACCAAACAATAGTCGTGTGAAAGAACTTCAGTCATCTTTTCACCTCGTGTTCCTATTTGGTCTAATTTCTCACACTAGGACACCGTTTGGAAAATTGGTTTTCAAATGCAAAATTAAAGTTAAATGAGACGTAATTCTGTTCCCACACTGACCAAACACTCAGTCATATCCAGAAATGATCGATAGAAATCTTAACTAAAAGGCTGTTTGATTTGCTCAATTTCCTCCAGACCCATATGGTGATTCCAGTTGCCGCAGACTGTTTATTGCACATATGACCCTAATCTGCTGCAGGCCATGAGAACTCCCATCTCAGGTTGTTTTTACACCCTGCGGTTAAGGTGCAGGGGTTGACAAATGGACATTGTTACAGACGTTTTGTTTCTCCCCAGTGGTTTTGCTGCGGAGAGAGGGAGCTTAGGGGACGTGTGGTTAAAAAGTGCAAGATGTCGGAGGTGGTGTGTTTTTGGTCAGGCCTTACTCTTAAAAACTTCTCTAAACTTCACGCTCTCTTCCTGCTGCCTCAACCGTGGCCTGGAAGTCAACTCCAGAGAATTTCGATGGTGCCGCCGGTTCTGTTTTGTTTGAGTGTTTGTGGGGAGACAGGACATTGAGGATGTAATCTGATAAGCTGGTGCTACCCTGCCTGTTCTCTCTCTCTCTCTCTCTCTCTCTCTCTCTCAGTTTTCCTTTCGTTTTCTTTCCCACTGTCATCGTCTGTTGGAGTCAGACAGAGACTTTGTTCTCTGATTGTGTGGTTAGTTTGTTTCCTCAGAACTCTGATTAGTAGGCTGAATTTACATAATACAGTATATACATATATAGATACATATATATGGATATGGATATGGATATATATATGTATATTTATGTATATATATATATATATATATACACTGTATGTCTCTACATGTGTCCTGGATATGGACTGTCCATTGTGCCTCTGCTTTGCCCCATGACTGCTGCGATTGTCTCCACTCTCCAGATTCACTTCAAAGCATTAAGTGGTCGAAGATGAAGCTGTTGCCCAAAACACTTCATATTTTTTGGCCAAATAGTATTTGTTGCCATAATCAGTCAAGCTTGAGTAAATATTTGTGGTAAATGTGATGAATGATGGCAGTGGTTGATGCTTCGAAAAAATTCCTTTTTTTCTTTTTTTTTTCAGGGTAAAAACAAAGATTTCTCCTTTAATCACACAGGTCATCCTTCATAAAGTGATGGGGTTTTTCCCCAGCGATTGTTTGTCTTATTCACGTGTCAGTGCGTGTGTGTGTGTTTACACCAGTGTTGTGCTTTGTGTTTTCTCCAGTGAGTTTGTGTCATGGCTGATGGAAATTGGTGAGACGGGAAACCCAGAGGAAGGAGTTCATCTTGGCCAAGCTCTGCTGGAGAACGGCATCATTCACCACGGTTGGTTGAAACTGAGTTTTTAACTCATATTTTGCCAATGTCTTATCATAAAAAGACAACATTCAACATTCATCTAGTGTTGATGTGTTCAAAGTTCAGCAGATCATCTGGTCCACCATTTGAGATGAATAATCTCGTAACTTTCAGCTATTTTACTGGATCACTGTGCTTTAGCTAGTCAATATATTTCATCAGTAGTTGCTTTGTAATGTTGCTGCATTGATAATAATAATCTGTGCTGTATTTCTGCTATTTGTGTTGAGCTAATGTTACACTATTAGGTTGTCAAACATTAATAATAGCCATGTTACCACAGATCAGGCCCCGGGTCATTTAGTGCAGTGTTTCCCATATAATATTATATTTATATAAAGCTTTGATATATTTATGTTTTAGCTGGTGTCTCATTAAATGCTCCTCACAACCATTGATCTCCTCCTTTATAGATTATTTGCTTGGTCACTGCTTTGTGGTGTGGATAATAAATGATTTCAGTACACAAGGTATCATCCAGTCAAAATGTTGCTTTACACTTCAGCATGTATGTTTTTTTAGAAGGGCAGAGGGGCCTTTGACCAAGTTTTATATTAAATCACCTTAGGTGCTTTATTGCTTCCTCAAAGAGAAATGGGATTGAGTCTCATATGTTCCCAACAGCAAAGAAGAACTCCTGGGACCCTCGGTGTTCTCACAGCACAGTCAGAAGTCACCATATGAAAATTAGTGAATATCTTTTCATAGAAGAAAAAAAAGCTTAATGGAATGCACGCAGCTGCAGCCAGGGCTTCACAGAAGATCAGGGTTAGATCTCCCAGTTCCCCCAAGCAAAGGATCAGGGATCTGTGTGTAAAGTTTCAGTTGTGTTTTTGTCTCAAAGGGCCGTCTCTTCATGCGGTTTTCCGCTTGACTTTTCCTTTTCTCTCAAACTTAAAGCAGGATAAAAAGAAAAGCCGCTTCAGGCTGTGTGACTTTTTTTGTTCTCTGCTGTTTCATCATTTTATTTCTGTTCTGTTTGAATTGTTCCCTCAGTCACAGACAAACACCAGTTCAAACCCGAGCCTGTGCTGTACCGCTTCCGCTTCGATGATGGCACCTACCACCCCAGGAGTGACATGCATGACGTCATTTCAAAGGTAATAGTCTGTAACGCAGAGATTTAACCATTGTCAGGTTTTTACTCAGAGTTCACTCACACGACTCTAAAAACCCCTGTGTTCTTCCTCAGGGTGTTCGGCTCTTCTGTCGTCTCCATAGTCTTTTCACTCCAGTCATCAGGTGAGTGGACATTTTCTCTTCCCCTCTGCTGCAATTTAGCTGGTCAGGCTCTAAATTCTCACTAAGTTTTTAAAACTGCGAAGGAAAATCTTGATGAAGTATGAGCTGATTTTCTTTCTTCAATGGTTCAGGTCCATTATCCAGTTACAGTCCTTAGAGAAATGGTTATTATCTATATATGATTATACACTCGTTAGTTTCTTGAAACATTTAATGGTCCTAGCATGTCTTAGCATAAGCATGTGACCTACTGTGTGGGAGGGAGAGGTTTCAGTGGTTACAGTGGAAATGTTACATTAATGAAGGAATTGACTTTGTAGGAATGTAAAAAAAGAAGTTCAGCACTGTGAAAAAGTGTTGTAAACAGTCTGCAGAGACTAACATTTTTGTCCCCTCTTCTGTTTTTCATTTCAAAGATGAGATTCATTTCCACATCTTTGTTTTGTCTGTTTATTTGGTCTAGTTTATAAAATACAGTCATTTCAACACAGCCACACATTGAACAGTCAATAATGGGCAAATTAGTTACAGTATGCTGACGGGCAACATATTAATGTTGACAAATAACAAGCCAGAGAATAGACCAGAGTCTGTTTTACGTTTCCCTAAAACCTAAAACTCAGTTAACCCTATTAGGCCATTAGTTTGTGTTTGTCCGCGGTTCCAAAAGGTTTTGACGTCTGACATCACATTTCTGCTTTTAGGCTTTTAGTGCTGAAATTAAAGTCTGATGCTGTCCAATTACATGTTAAGGATATTTCCAGTTAGGCACCTTACAGAGGGTGATTAGTGTAAACAAGTGAAAACAGAAACAGCCATTATACCCATGTAACTGTGGGAGAAGTCTAAATGTAAAACACGTGGCTCCTGCATCAGCGCTGGCACACGTAATCTCTTCATCTGACGGGAATAAATTTGGAGCAATCTCATTTTTATTGGAGTGAAGTGATGTGATGCACGTTTTAGTTTTCAGTGTTGTTTCTCCAGATTCCATCAAAGTGTGTACTGAGCTGCAAATGTGCTTCATGGTGAAGGCATGGCTTAAGGTTTTGCCTTGTTTATGCTGGATGTCAAATGGCCTAAAGAGAAGCTTTAATTTCATACCAATTAAACTGTGCAATAGCTGCAGGACACAGAGTGGACGCTGAACCTGTCCCAGCATAGAAACTTCTCTGTGTTTCTATTTTGATCTGGATATTGTGGAGCCTGGAGGCTGATTGTTTTTTACGGGTCAATATTCACTCTGCCTGCACTGCAGCCAGACTCTCGGGCTTTTTAAAAGCTTACGGTGGGTTTATGAGAGTCGGGTGTTTTACCGGCTGGCGTATCTGTGAAGCACATACTGAGAGCCCAGCACAAAGCAGCACAGGGTCGAGGAATGCCAGAGTTTAATTGGAGCAATCAGCCCCTGCCTAATTAGGTGGAATTTCCTGGCAGGGGGACAGAGATGGGGGAAACAAGACAGGGTTCACTTTGCATCCACCTCCACACTCATAGAGCTCCTGAGTATTCAGCTTTCCAAAAGATCTTTATTTTTTTTAAAATAGTTTTTACCTTGGATAGTGATTAGCTCGTGTGCTGTGAGATAAACATGTTCACATCCAGTAGTTTCAGTTTTCTTCTAATGCAGTATTATTTTTAATAGTAAAATAGTAAAAGAAAAATTTCATATGAAATATAGATTTTCACCGTCATGCGACATAATCTGGTCTACATTATGAACGCTTGTCATTGGAATGGTCACTGTACCAGGGTGTAAATTCAGCTTCTAGATCTACACAGATATATCTGTGGTAGTTAAAACATTGGAATGGTCACTGTACCAGGGTGTTAATTCAGCTTCTAGATCTACACAGACATATCTGTGGTAGTTAAAAAACAACATGACAATACAGCTGCACTCTTAACCAACGGTGCATTTAAGTGCAATCCAACGCAACAGACTGATAGATTTAAGGGATATTTAATGATTAAAGGGTTAAATCTAGGTTATATTTGCCCCTAAATACATTTTTTTGTTAGCATACATCTTTTATTGAGGTCAAATAAAACAAGCCTAACTGTTCAACCTTGGTTAGTGGCTATAGGACATTTTTATCCAGTCCATTTTAAATATTTGGCGCTTCCTTAATGTCATGGAAACACTGGTTGTGACTTTATATACCAAGAATATATATATAACATTTGCTTAAACCATTTACTAAATGTCAAGGGAAACTTTCTTCGTTGGACACAAAGTTAAAAACCGCTCCGGCTCCCTGACCTTTCCCTCTGTTACTCCTCAAACTGCTGCTTCTCTGTCCTGGACATATGGCTGCCCACTGGCCAGCAGTTTACCGCTCCATTTTTCACTCTGACAGCCTCAGTGTGCACCACCCGCTGCAGCCACAGTCTTCCTGGTTCTTGTATCTGGACTGAGTGGTTTACGCCTGGTGTGCCTCACTGGCTGATATCAGCAGCACAGTCCTCATCAGACAGCGGCCCAGGCTGTCAAGAACAGTTATGCAACAGAATGTTCCATTGTTGGAGGAAACAGGGCAGCGACCAGCCTCTCACGCTTCACATTCTAAAGCGCTCCCAACAGCTGCCTGTGGATTTAACTGGACCAACATGTCACGTTGACTTGTCTAAACCGGGTATGTGTGCACGAGTGTTTTCATTTAAAGGAAGCAGTGCAGTTGTGGAGGTTACAGTGGTTCTGGACTTTCCCGACCCTGCTGCTCAGCCCCTTCTTCTTTTTTTTCCCGGGAGAGGCCCCAGTATTCATGGGAAAGGCACAACACTGTTTCAGATGTCAGTCTCCTGGTCGGGTGAAGTAACAATCACAAACATCAACAGTCACAGTTACAGGAGGCAGCCTCCCTCACCCCCAGCCAATGCTGTTTTTGCCGTTACAGTCTGTCGGAACTTTCTTCGGAATCATGATGCAGTGCTGTGAAAAGTGACCGCGCCTCACTGACAGTGGAAATTATTAGCTTTCTTTTAAACACCATTTAAATAAACCAAGCAATTACAACCCTCCATGTTCACCATCTGGGCCTATTTCAGCTGCAGTGAATCACACTGTGGAATAACAAGTTACACAGTCCAGGTTTGAAGGTAGACTCTTATTTTCCTAATCCTAATCATCCTTCCTCTCTAATGTCTGTCCAGGGACAAAGATTACCATTTGCGGACGTACAAGTCGGTGGTGATGGCGAACAAGCTCATAGACTGGCTGATTGCACAGGTGAGTCCTCAGGTGATCCTGCCGACAGACTGGCAGATGTACCAGCAAAAACATAAGGTAGAACAGGTATGGGGACCATGAGTTTGTAATGATGGACTGCAGTGGGGAACCTAGCTCTGTGGTTTTTGTGTGGTAAGCCAACATAAATGATATTACAAAGATGATATATTTTAATTAAATACATATTTTAATTTAAAATGTTTAAGCCAGGAAATGTGGTCAAAAGTCTTTAGTTGCAATGCAACTTGTATTGGAAACTGTTGTTTCTTGATCCACTACATCAGTGTTTCCCAACCGTTTTTTGAGCCAAGGTAAATATTTTACATTAGAAAAATCCCAACAAAAATATCCAAAAAGTACATTACTGAAACATAATCATCTTTTAGTCTCAGTTTACCTAATTTACTTATGGGAACATTTCTCTGTTTAGTTGAACACAATGCTGATATACTCACAGGAATTGAGAAAAGAAAGACACTCACTGAGATCTATTTCAACAGCTCTGAGTGTCTCAGTTTTTAGTTTTTGTAACAGTCGTGCTTTAAAAGCCAGGTTTGCATAGGGAAGTGGTGGAAAATGGGAACAGGGCTGAAATAAATTTGAACCAATGATTACGTCACACGATAAATAAATCATCAATCCTCTACTCGGTCTAGTTGCTCTGGGGTTTTAGCAAATTCACCCATTTATTCCTTCTCACTAATGTTGTTTTTGGGCCTCAGTTTTTCCATGCAGATAAACTGAAGTCTTATTTATATTTTTGCTCTATGTGTTAGATTATTTTTTTAATTGTGTCAGGTCACAGCACTAAAAAAACACCATTCAAAACTTCCGTTTGTCATGGAATGGGTGAGAAATGGTTTGCGGTTGCCGTAATATGCAGGTCAGTTCAATAGTACTACAGATGAAAGAATTTGAGACAACAAAGGATCACATGCCATCAAACTTGAGACTCTCAGCAGAGCAGAAAGAAACAAACAAACAACAGAAAAAAACAGAATTGATTCAGCAGCTAAGCTTTATTGGCTTTGACAGGAAGCTTTGAGCCTGACAGATTGATAGTCCTGTCCATTATGACAACAGAGTATATATGGCCACTGCACAGGATCAATGGCAGACATTATGAGTGCACGTGTGTGTATGTGTGTGTGTGTGTGTGTGTGTGTGTGTGTATGTGCGCTCGTCCAGATGAATAGGGTGTGTGTGTGTGTGTGTGCGCTCGTCCAGATGAATAGCTTTGACCCTGGCCCTCTCTACTTCAGTGGAAATATGACAACTGTCACAATCTGCTGTCTAGACCCGATCTTGGCTGTGTGTATTATGGAGTGTGACTCTGGCTGTGCTGGAGGTTTCTGGATGTTAGAACAAAGAGGAGATGAATTTGACATGTTCACTGCTCTCCTCACACACAATATTCCGTTTTCTGCTGCTTCTTACTCCTTGTCATGTTTTTTTTCTTACCCTGACCTCACTGCATATCTGTCTCTCTCTCTCTCTGCATCTGCCCGTTCTGTCTGTTGTCCCAGGGCGACTGCAGAACCAGAGAGGAAGCGTTGATTTTGGGGGTGGAGCTGTGCGACAATGGCTTCATGCATCACGGTACGTTGCTTTTCTTTAACCTGGATTTTAGCTGACCTTTAAAAAAAAAAAAGTTCAGATCATGGTGTGCATAAACCGCAGAATCTCTTCACCGGGTGAATGACAGTCAGTGCTCTGGAGAAACCACACAGAGGCTGTTTGGTCTTTAGCATCCTGTTTTACAAACAACGCCCACCCTTGTTTTCGGTGCATTTGCTGCTACTCTACAGAATAAGTGTATTTTTTTTCCTGAGCCAAAGAATAGATGTAGATTTGTGTGAGTCCATGCATGTGTGTGTTGTGGTTCATTGATCTAATGCAGGGTAAATGTCTGCTTGTCGTTACTTTGAATTAAGAGTTTGGCGGATTACACAAAGTAAAAACTGATCAGTTACCATGGTTGTGTTGTGTTTATGGGAGTCAGGCTTGTTGTTAACTGCACGCCACTTTTAATACATGTTCAAATGTTACAGTACAAACTGTAGCATTAGTCATAGCGAGTCTCCTCGTATTCTCCATGATGTAACGGTGCTGAACTAGCCACAGTTCAAGCCTTACAGTACAAATTACCGGCCTGTCTTCAGACATCAAACTGCCTCAAACTTACACTACACAGCCTTCTGGGTAATCTTACAGTTAATGCTGGCAAGTATTGGGTCTGTTGATGTGGTTAATGAAACTCCTGGCAGTAGATCTGATAAAATAGGGAAATAAATAAAGAAATGTGAGAAAGAAGGGTTTTTTTAAGTCATGTTTTCTTCCTGTCATAAAATAAAATAGTTGTTTTAAGCCATTTAATATCTGTTGAAGACAGAATACTCCTGGTGCAGCAAGAAAACAATATCCCGAATGCCACCATTACTACTAAAACATATTTCTGACAAATCTGATAAAACCATCTTTATTTATTTTATGTGTTTCTGTGAATTCATATCCAACTCTTTCTGTCACTTCTCTCAGTGTTGGAAAAGAGTGAGTTCAAGGATGAGCCTTTGCTGTTCCGTTTCTTTGCTGACGAGGAGATGGAGGGTTCCAACACCAAGCACAAGCCTGTAAAACATGACTTGAAAATAGTGGAGAACGTGATCTCCAAGTCTCTCCTGGTGAGTCTCACCTGCAGCCACTCTGCGCTGACTCGTTGACCACATAGACCTCAGTCTGTCTGATAATGTGGATACTGCACAGCTCTGAGAGGAGAAGTCAACAACTCTATTTCTTATTTCAGTAGACATTCTTTTTCAAGCAAATACTGCCATACTGCTGACATCTGTGTTTACCACTTTGTGCATTTGGTGTGTGTGTTTGTGCTCCGTGAGCATGTCAGGGTCTGTTGGTTTGGGATTCTGCTGATGGGTGATGTTTTTTTAGATAAGGCCCAGTGATGGAGGCTATGGATTTACCCTGGAAGAGAGAAACAAAGTCCCCATCATCAAATCTGTGGAGAAGGGCTCACCAGCTGAGGTAAGAGGCGATTTAAAGAGTATTATGTGCATGCACACTCATAGCAAATGGAGCCACACATTTTATATGGAATTAACAGTGAGAATAGGATTTTTTTTGTTTTGTTTTCTGTAGTAGTACTTTGTATTGTCTTTGTTTCCTAAATCTGATGGATTTCAAATCTATTAGGTAACTAATTAGATTAAATGCTGCTTGTTTTGAGATAAGGAGGGCATCTGATTGGCTAACTCAGGTAAGCTTAAATAACCATTTAAAATTTGGTTGAGTTCAAAGAGTTGAGGCAGTGATGGCTTCACTGTCCTAGGAAAAAGTGATAATGTTTCTAGCTAAATCTATAGTTGTTTGTGCTTTTGCCAGTTTAATAAACTGGGGAAAGAAGCTAAGTGGCTTCTTCACACATTAATAGGAAAATCGTTGACAAAGTAAGCTTCAAGTTAGCACGTATTTATGAAAAAGATTTAGAGAAGTAAACCACCGTCTAAACCTGCTAGCAATTTGTCAATATTCTTTTATTTCATGATAAATTGGGATATAAACGGGTGTTTAGGCAGAGCTGCTCATCCATCAAATTTTCAAGTTAGGTGGTCGGATGTCGGATGAGATGAGTCCTAACTGTAATCCAAACAAGTGCATTAATGCTCCTGATTGTCTTTGCCTGAAGCACATCCTTTAAACACATCTGCTTTAATTCCACTGATTATTTCTTTAAATCAGCACCATCTCATTTAATGTACACATCTATCAGAGTAACCTCCACGTAATCCATGTGACCTCAGCTGTAACACATAATTTAAGGGTGGTTTTGTTATTCTGATGTTTCATTTTATTTCCTGTTTTGATTTAACTCTGTTCTGCTGTATTGGATTCTACAAATCTGTGATGTCTTTACAGCAGATGCACATCAGTGAGAGGAAGCCTGCTGTTGATAAAACATGGCTCCATCAACAGTCATAAACTATATAAACCTCCAACTGTTTGCTCCTCAGCTAAGCCTGATTTATGGGGATGGACATTGATGCTAGGGTTACGAGAAAATTTCGTGCAGAAACAGAGCACATTAAAAGGGCTCCATATTTTTTTGGGGTCTTCTTTGGTGTTCAGCTTTGATCTGCCGGATGAAAATGGGACACAGGGAGTTTGAAGGCGAATGCAATCTCAGTGCGCACGACCCATAATTCCTTGCAGGGCTGGAGGAGTGCTGAATGAGGCTGCAAGTTCTGGTTTGCATAGAGACTGGCATTGTGCGTGTTTGCTATTAAAAAAATTGAATGTGAAATCCATGACAGGATCAAGCTGCGTGCACGCAGATGAGAGATATCCTATAGTTTGTGCTCGGACTCATTAGGTTCAATCTTTCGTGTGATATATATATTTATGATTTTATTTAAGATGGCCGGTCTGGAAGTAGGGAAGAAGCTGTTTGCCATAAATGGAGATCTGGTGTTCCTTAGACCGTTCTCTGAAGTGGAAGCTCTCCTCAGGCAGTGTTTCAACAGCAAAGGCCCGCTCAGAGTGCTGGTCAGCACCAAACCCAGAGAGTAAGTCGGCCAACTCTGCCTGTGTGAAACCAGTATATTGTCTACATTCATCAGAGTGATGCATGGACCTTCTTTCTCTGTCGGTCTCCAGGACAGTAAAGATCCCAGACTCGGCTGATGGACTCGGTTTCCAGATCCGTGGCTTTGGTCCATCTGTGGTGCACGCTGTCGGTAGAGGTATGACATCGTCGCCTCTACTACTTAAGCCGTCTGGCTTTATCAGCACAAACCCTTCCCCTCTGTGACTGTGGCACAGCTGGCAAACAGCTGCCAAACCGGTGTGCATGACTTGAAGACAGTAAACTAAAACAATCCCCTAACTTCACTCCCCCTGCCCCACACACACACACTCACACACACACACTCCCTCAGTTCAGGGTTAGCATGTTGCTCTGACTATTAATGAATGAAATAATGGTTGTCAGTTGTTTAGATTTTTTAATTTAGTGATGATTAATCATTATAAATCATAATTAACCTGTACATTTTGAATGCCCTAAAAAATATGATATAATTATATATATAATGCAGAAGTTTTATAGTTAATTTACAGATATACCTGCAGCTCGCTATTAAAAAAATGCCAGTTTTTAGCTAGATAGCTAGCAACATGGAAAAAGGGTAAAAAACTTTCTATACAGCGCTTTACATTTGATGTTTTAATAACAAAATTGTTGCTGTATTTTTAAAGGCTATTCATATATTATTTACTTTATCAATGGCCCAAGAAATGTTTGCTGCTAACTAAACTGAACGTCTTCATGAAGTGATAACATCCAGTTCTTAACATTGGAATATAAAATATGCACAGTCTCTATTTCAGTAGCCGTCTCAACAAACAGGAGGGATATTCAGACAGACATGCACTTCCTTCTGATAGTTGTAAACCTTGACAGTCTGAGCTTCGTCCCTCACTGAGGCCCAAGTCGGCTGCAGATAAACAACATCCCCTCCTCTCATGCTCCCTCACGCTCCCACCTGAGCTGCCAAACAGGAAACAAAGTTCTAAATACAAAGAATAAAAATCCTTTGAATATGAAACTTTTTGTTTACACTGCCACCTGCACGGAATCACAGAAGGTCCTTGACCTTGACACATGGCCCCTCTCAGTTTCGCCTGTCTTTGTCTTACATCAGGCACAGTGGCAGCCGTCGCTGGCCTCCACCCGGGACAGTGCATCATCAAGGTCAACGGCATCAATGTCAGCAAAGAGAGTCACGCCAGCGTCATCGCTCATGTCACAGCCTGCAGGAAGTACAGGCGACCCTCACAGGTGAGACGGAGGCAGAGAGGTTGTGTCACACAGACATTCAAACTAATAGAGGTTCAGTGCTTCAGTGTCAACACAGTGATTCCTAAAGTTGACTGGTTATTTCAGAAAAATAAAAACTTCTTAAAATTCCTTTAATATATGAAACAAAAGTAATAGGAACTAGCAGAGGTGAGAAAAAAGTGTATGTATATATTTACATATATATGTATGCATATATTTATATATACAGTATGTGTGTATGTATATACATATACATGTGAAGATATATACACATATATGTATGTATATGTAGATATGTAATAATTATGTCTGTTTATATTAAAGTACATATATCTACGCATATATTTATATATATGTAAATATTTATATAGATAAAGCATCAAAGTATTTTCACAGTGTACGCTCAGTGGAGCGTGTGGACATGTGTATACTACAGTACTGAAATGAAATGAATTTTTAAAAAAAAAACTCCTTTAGTTTTGTTGTTGTTCCCAGTAATATAAAGGATCGACACAGCCTTCTACCGAGGACAGCTGTGGTCGTGGAGTCTTACAGCAGCCCCTGATACTCTGTGGGTGGAGGCTGTAGAAGTAGAACATCATAAAAGACCAACAGAAATGAAAGGAGCAGAGAAATGGGAAAAAAGGGCGAATGGTCTTTAACTGTGAGAAAAATACCATATATTTAGCATCACTTTACCCCCGTATCTCTGCCCCCTCCTCCTCCCCCTCCTCCTCCTCCTCCCCCTCTCCCTCTGACTCTGACTCTGTCTCTCCCTCCCCTGGGTCATTACGCAGAAATTATAGTAGTTTTTGGCTCCTCCGGCGCTGACCTCTGGCTCGCAGCGGTGAGGCTGCTGTGGGAGACTGGCAGGCAGCAGGGAGAGGTGGGAAAGGATCCGGAGGTGGCTGCGACGCAGGGTGGGTTTAAGCACTGGAGGCCGGGGGGCGTGGGGGCAGTTACGTCCATGGGAAAGTGGATGACAACAGACAAGTGTAAGAGGATAAACGGATGTCAGTCCACCTGTTGAAGGGGCTTGAAAACAGAAACCAAGATGTGTGTCTGTGTGTGTGTGTGTGTGTGTGTGTGAACTGGCGTCAACTGTCACTTTAAGTGGATTTCATCGACACTTTTGGACTAATGAAGCACCACAGGGTTTTAACACTACTGGAGATCTGGTTTACATCAATTATGGACACGTGGGAGCCACCCTCAGTGTGTGTATGTATGTGTGTGTGTGTGTGTGAGTGTGACCACAGAGCAGTAGGCAGGCACAGTGTGTAGCCTTGGCAGAAAAAAACTGCTGTGGCTTTGGGTGTGGATAGCACAGACTGATACACAGATAGACACACACACACTGCACGCTATTGTGGGTTGATGAGATTGGCATGGGTTTTGCTTTTGCGGCCGCACCGAGCACCATGTTTCCATATGTTTGTGAAACGTTTTTTTTTTCCCAGCGTACACTCTGCCAACCCAGCTGTGTCACTGTAAACCATATCTGGGCAGGATCAGCGAAACAAGCTGCTCTCTGGTCCAAACCTCAGCTTTGTACTAAACACACACACAGACACACAAACACACACAGTACAATACACTTACATCCTGCAAGACTAGTAGGATAGGAATAAGGTTTACGCCACAATAAACAGAGCGGTGTTGTTTTTCTGAGCCTAGGTGACTGAAATGGATCATATTGGTTAAATGTGTGTGAAAATGCTGCACTGAGAGGTGGCAGTGGAAACATAATACGATTTTAAACACATTTGCTGTCAATCATTTCCATACTTTTATGATGCAAAACAAGTTTCAATGAACCCAATAAAAGCCAGACATATTTTCTCTTCTCTCTCTGTGCAGCAAGATACCATTAAATGGGTGTATAACAACACGGAGAGCGCCCAGGAGGACAACCAGAGGGCCAGCCAGAAACACACCACGGAGGAGAATGGCGACGTCTTCGAGTGCAAAGTGGAAGGTGACCAGACTCGCACGTGCACACTCAACCACAGAGTTCTGCTCAAAGGTGTCTGCAGATGTAAGGCAGGCTTGTTAACAGGAACACAGCCCCGCCGCCCGCTCCAAACAAGCTCATCTGGAGAGTGTTAGTCTGTAAAAGCCGCCTCCTCGGGTTCATCAAGTGTTAATTCCCCCCCAGCGATTTATGGATCCCAACGAGAATGTAAAACAGAAAAGCAATTCCCTTCATCGCAAACAGCTCCGATTGGAATTTATTGCCATATTAAGTTATTGCTGCAGCTCAGGGCCAGTTAAGTTAATTTCCCTGGAATTGCACATCATTTGAGCCGAGGGTCTTCTATTGAAACGCACTCCAGAGTTAGTGGTGGGGGGACCTCCTATGGTGATGTGGCGACGAAAACACGTGTTCATGTTCACTTTGTGGTTGGGACAGAAATATAATCGGAAGAAAACTGATAACGATCTGTGAACACAAATCTGGTTTCATCACTCTTGTCTCTTTGCTCTTCTCTCTCGTCTCAGAGGTGATAGACAAGTTCAACACCATAGCCATCATCGATGGGAAGAAGGACCACGTGAGCCTGACTGTGGACAACGTCCACCTGGAGTACGGAGTGGTGTACGAGTACGACAGCACAGCAGGCGTCAAGTGCCAAGTCCTGGAAAAAATGGTGGAGCCGAAGGGGTTTTTCAGCCTCACCGCAAAGGTAGTGTCTGATGATTGGCTTGGATTAACTCAGAACACATGGACCGGCCTCTGGGAAAACATGTGTTTTTATGTTGTTTTAGTTTTACGGGACTGAGCGTGATGCTGGTAATTTCTGTTTAAAATTGCAGTTTTTTGTTTCGCACAAAAAAACATGAACAGCTGGTAATTTCTGTTTAAAATTGCAGTGTTTTGTTTCGCACAAAAAAACATGTCCGTACCATATTTGGCTAAGGGACATTGGACTGTCCAGTGTCTGGGTAAAAACCATTAAAATAACGTTCAATATTCCAATATTTATGTTAAAAATATTTACACTTTTGCCTGGATGTCATCAGCATAAACTTTCACAACAACATTAATCAAGATTTATTAGTCGTAGAAACAAAAAAAGGATTTTATCACCTTACAGGTGATGAATAGTGACAGTGGTTTTCATTACCTCACCACTTTTTCATCAGGTTTCATTAGGAAACCCCTTAAATATGTAAACACTTTTTTTTCCTGGTACTGTTTGGCCATTGGTAAAGAAATTAAATTGCAGTCATTACAGAATTTTAATTATACACAAAGATCCACGATCTATATTTTTGATTTCCTCGGTTTTTACGTCAGCACAGACAGTTTCCATCAACAGCCGCGCTGCAGAGGCTTGATGTAAGTTTGTAGTGACAGCTATGTTTTTGTCACTGCAGTTCCCGCTGTGTTAAGTGTTCGGTTTTGACATCCCGGCTGTGATGTTTCACAGGTTGATCATCACAGTTTTAGGATTCAGCCCAGACAAAAACACACACACACAGACACTTGATTTGAAAAATAGTGATCATAAAAAAGCACTGCCTCATACCACCAGGATCTACTCTGTACAGATTCTTCTTCCTGGAAAATTAACAGACATCATAAGTTGCGTTTACGTCCGAAACTGGTCGTCAGTTTTTGTTCCTGAAGTCTTTGAAAGCACCATGACAAATGAAACCCAGTAAAGTTCCTAAACATGAAAGCTGCTTCAGCCCATGTGATGATGAGTGGATTCCCATTTCGCCAAAGGAAAAGGACTCGTATTGTTATTATGATTATGACCATCTGCCTGAGCTGACCAAATGTTCCTCAGGGACATGTGAAATGTTTATTCTATTTAATTTTAATATCACTGACACTGTTGGGGTCCACAGCCTTCGTTTCCTGCTTCAGTCTCTTCCTGCTGCTGCTTTTTCTCCACTGACCTTTTTCCTCTCTCTCTCTCTCTCTCTCTCTCACTCTCTCACTCTGCCTCTTATTAAGACATTTTTTGGATCAATGTCTCTCTCCCTTCATTTATCTACAGTCTAATCCAGAAAGCCAGTGTTTTGCATCACTACATCATATGATTCACATTTTGATGACAAATCAAAAATCTATGAATCTAAACAGTTTACAATTGCAGGGATATCGAGTCTCCGATATGTTTATCATTTCCTTCAGCTTATTTTAATTTTTCCCCCCAAGTACAAAAATACTCTCAGTAATTTATGCTGAATTGCAGGCTACGTGACTCATTTTAGGAAAATGACCATATCAGATAACCGTCCTTTACACCATTGGCTCTTTCCGTGACCAGATCCTGGAGTCGCTGGCACGTAATGATGACACGCTGGTGCAGATGTGCAGCAGGTTGAGTTCCAGCTGTGACGTCATCCCTGAGGAGCTGCAGTTACGCTTCAGTGCCATGTGTGGTGACAGGGTGGAGCACATTAACCGTCGCATCACCAACTACAGAAAGGTAAAAATCCAGAGCTGTATACTGGTCTCTCAGTGGTTGCAGGATGCAGGAATTTTATTACAGTGGTTCTCAACATTCGGCAACATTGCACCCTTCTCACCTGCAGGGGTTATAAACAGTAAAATTACCCATTAGTTTATTTACTGTTTTTTGACAAGAAGACATTTTACCTTTAGCTATTGAGTCCAGAGGATTCTACAGACAAAAGTCTGTATGTGACATGTTTTATGTCATTATGATATAACCAAAATATTTTTCCTAAGCAGAAAAAAAAAACCTCCTAATGCAACACGAGTGTGAGTTAAAGCAGAAAAGCAGAAAAGATCAAACTCCAAATCAGAGCGGGCCTTGGATTAATTACCAGTCACTTAAAAATAGCCAAGCGCAGCCACAGCCAGGACTTGTTGCACAATTCCCTCCCGCGTTGTAACATTCCGGCTCGAACCCTGAGAGAGAAAGCGGGACAGGAAGAGATAAAAGATGGAGGAGGAGAAGACGAAGGGACAGGAGGACAGAGCACACGACACAGCATAAAGGGATTTAAGGACAGAGTAATTCTTGGACGTTGGGGTCCACAAAAGACTTGAGGTGTTGATGTGTTGTATAAAAAGGTCCAGCTCCAGGTCCATCTGGACCTTTTCAGCTGACTTTCAGCGGCAGCAGCCTCCAACTATCTGTTAAATCTAAGGTAAATGAGACGAGATGTTAATTTCACCTCCGTCGTTAACTCCAAAAGGATCCAAAAGTGTCAGGTCCAAAAATTTCAGGTCTCTCCGTCAGACTTCTGGAACCCTGCTCTGTATTATGCTAGCAGTATTTTCCTGGATGACCTGAGGAGACTAGAAACTGATCTGATGGTTTAAAGCATCTGCTTTCTAACATCCATGAAATTATGCAGGCCCCGTGACAGAGGGTTCAAGGAAAGTGCAGGCACCAAGTGATGAAGAAAAAGTTGTGTTTGTGATATTCGGCAACACGCTGCATCATGTCCAAGCTGTGTCCTTCAGGCCCTTCAGTATCATGTTGCCATCTTGATGTAGGAAAGATTCTATCTTCTTTCATTTTAGGGAGGTTTTCCTCCTTATCAGAGGTCAATATATTCCATACAAAATATACACAGAAGTTTCTGTAGTTTTAAAACAACTCCACAGAGTAGATACTGGTCAACAAAGATGGAAACAGTCCTTATTGTTGAAGTACCACATAGCCGAGTTGAAAATCAATGACCTGTGGGGGGGTAAATCAGATACTTTTTCTAAAAGCAAGTGCTTCCTCCTTTATTAGGTAAATATATGGTTTGTCTCTGTAGTAAATGTATGAGCTGAGCTCTGTCCTTTTTCAGTTTTTATTTCACAATGAATCTCATTTTCTATGAAATGATGCAAGTAACGGCACAGAGTGTGAAAGAGCTGCAGCCTGGTCTGATGGAGATGGTTTCCTTTTGATGAATTAGCTTTAAAAAATAGTGTTTTTAGTGTCTCCTGATCTTCATGGAAAAGCAGAAGAGTGTCACTATAGGACAGTATCTCTGTCCACACTTTCCTTTTTTTATAGTTTAATCTTATGTTAAAAACGTATCTCTGTCCACACTTTCCTTTTTTTTATTGTTTAATCTTATGTTAAACATAACATTAAAAATAAAAATCTCTCCTCACCCTCTGCCTCTAAAACATCAGCTTCCTTCCTTTCTGTCTTTGCCAGTTTGCTCGGGTACTGAAGAACAGAGCGTGGCCCACCTTCAAACAGGCCAAGGCCAAGGTGTCCCCCCTCCACAGCAGCGACTTCTGCCCTACTAACTGCCACATCAATGTGATGGAGGTCTCCTACCCTAAAACCACCACCTCTCTGGGCAGTGCCTTTGGTGTTCAGCTGGACAACAGGAAAAACACACCAGAAAAGGGGGGGCGCAGCAGTGCTGAACAAGGTGAGCTTGGAATGAATGACCTGGAGAGTTTTGGTCTGGACTAGTTCATCAAGTCTGGAAATGCACTGTTGACTTTACAGTATTTGATATTTCAGTTAAGCCGAGTGCCATGGTGAACGTCCAGTACACCATCACCAGCATGGCGGCTCCCTCGGGTCACAGCCTGGGCAGGACAGAAGGACACGGCCTTCGCTTCCTGCTCAGAGAAGATGACCTGCTGACCCTGGACGCGTATCAGAAACTCCTCTACAAACTCAGCACAGCTGTCACGGAGATGGAGACGCACGGCGCCCACATTCATGAGTGAGTGGCTCCACGCACGTGAACGTGTTCATGCAGTGCATACATCTGTACCTGATCGGTACTATGCATGCAGAGCTTGAAGTCATCAGTCACAAGTGCACACCCCTGTGTTATATATTTTCAAATCATTGCCATGTGAGTCGAAGTCTTGGGTTTCAATACATTTCTAGTTTGATTTACTGCAAAAAAAAACAAAAAACAAAAAACTGAATCCTGACTCTGATTGTATTCACTGTGTTTTTAAAGGGTGTGAAAACAGATTGCCTCATGTAACAGGCTTTAACTTAGACAGCTTGTCCAGTCATCCCGCTGCATCTGCTGCTTGGTTGGCATATATTTTTGGACATTACTCCAGCACCATGTGTGAATTTGTGTGTGTGCGTGTCAGAAAAAACTAAAACAGAAGGACGAGCAAAAACAGACACATCGGGTAATTTTGATGTTTTTTTTCCCCCACCATATGTCTGCTGTGAATGCTCCAAAGTAATGCTAACACTCTATTAATGCAGGGGCTTTCACACATGGTCGTCTATATGTGTGTGTCTGTGTGTGTGTGTCAGTTGAGCATTTCCTGCCAGACAGAGTCTGTTCAATTTTTACAGTTTTTTATTCTGCAGATTATGAAGAGGAAATGCTGGACTCTTTGTCCCCTCCCCATTCACCCAAACAGGAAACTGAACCTCAGGGTGGATCAGTGTGTCTGGAGCTGTAATGAAGTACAATTGACTAACAGTGTTGAATGTTCATATTCAGCAGACCTTTACATTCTGTTCCAGCACACAATGCTCACCAGTCCTTCTTGTGCAGCATCAGTGTCTGTACCTTTGCACAGACACATAATAAGAACTGGATGTTCTAGTCTCTGCTGTCCTTAAGCTGCTGTTACTTTGGATTCATTTGTCGTGGGCAGCAGGCTGTATGGCTAGTAGTAGAAGGTCATATCAAAATTTCACCACTTTAGCATCACAGCCGGCTCACCGAATCTGCTAGTTTCCTTGGCGGCTACAGCAGCGTGTGACAGTCACTAATTATCTTCTGCGTTTGTGAACTAACAAAAATGCATCTTCATTTTAAAAAAATCTACTGACCTGTGCACTAGACTTCAGGTCTGCATTTCATTTAAACAGATATATTTATGGTCTGCAATGACCTGCGACCAATGCGTTCCCAAAATAGGGGCAGGTCACCTTTGGGTGGCACAAAGCTATAGTAAGAGGGGACACAGCAAAGTGTTTAAAAAGCTGGATTAAAAAGCTGAACGGGCCACATCCGGCCCCCAGGCCTTAGTTTGCCCATGTCTGGTCTAGACATTTTTGTCTGACTCGTATCACTGCCAATCAGGACTTTAATTACTGCGTGACAGCAGTGGGGAGGAAACACTGACCTTTGAGGAAGCATTTATCTGGAAAATAACTGTCTTGCCGTGAGACAGTCTCCACGCCACCTGCGTTTGTGGGTGTGTCCAACACTCTTGAGCACACAGCCCACTCTTCCCCTTTCCCTAGCTGCCTCACTTCCTTTTTGTCCTGTCCTGTTGATTTCCAACTTTCCTCTGCACTCAGTTTTCTTCACACCCGTCTGCAGTGGTAGACGCAGACATAAATCACTCTCCATGTGTCTGGGCGTACCTGACTTTCACAGCACTTCTTCATGATGTTGTAATGATGAGCCCCAGTCTCCATATTTATACAGCTTCTCTCTGTGCTTCTTAGAACAAAACCACCCTATTTAAATGTCAAAGTCAAGAATGGAGGTCTGCAGTAAACTTGTAGCAGATTAGAAATATCCTTTGGGGTAATTTAAGAAGAGAAAACAACTGTGTGTAGGAGGACGTTACATAATTTCTTGGCTAAGTGTGGAAGAAATCCATTCCGAGGCAGCGACCTGTGGACCTGGATCAGAGACGGGGGAGTCACAGCTGTAGCTGTGTGAGGACTTGTCTTGGTGACGTGCTGCCAATCAGGGTGTCTTCCTCGTCCTGAAGCAGCCCTCACCACTTTCCATTTTAATATTGTTTCCTAATCCCCCGCACTTCATTAATATCATCAGGAGCTGCGGTTGATTTCCAGCTGCAGGGATTATTTCCTGTTTTGAACTCGGTGTCGATTAAAGCATTATGCAAATGTTGTGGCATGAAACCGCCTCACGTGGAGCTTTGTGATGCAGATCCTCTGATGTGTGTTAAAGTGGGTTAAAGAGTTTTCCAGTCAAAGATTAAGAAATCTTCCCCTCACAGTTCTGCTCTCAGTTTTTTTCTCCTCGTCTCCACTACTCTGTTAAAGACCCTTCTCTGATCCAGGCTTTGTTCTCCTCTTTTGCTCCCTCACCTAGTTTGCACCCCAAAGGCCCCAAACTGTGCTCATTTCATTTTTTGGCCAATAGCCAATCACAGAGCCCGTAGAGCTTCTCCATAGCGATGAATGCCAATCTCCTTTGGAGGTGCTTTGTGCTGGATCCTGGAGTGGACCATAATGAGGGCATCTCTGTGGTCCACTGGGGAAACTGGGCCAGTGATGAAAAGAGTGTTGGAGGATGGTCGGATCATAAAAAGCAAAAGATGTTTGAGATGTACCCGACTAACATGAGGAGGACATGCTGTTTATTTTAGTATTTGTGGCTGATATGACCAGTTCACACACCTCAGGGAGCTGCCCTCTTTATCTTTAACAGGAACAACAATCTGTAAAATTTTAATTCTAAACAAATTCATTTGTGTGAGGCCTGAGTGTCAACTGTTTGCAGTTCTTCAGTTTACACCAAAAATTTTTCACTGGATCCAATTTGGTCTCTAATTGGACCGTTCCACACCTTTAATTTGACTCCAATCACACTACATTTGTTGTTGTCTTTCTTTCTAAAATTAGAAATTTCACACACACCCACAGTTGTTTTTTTTTTTGTAAAAATAGCCTCTTATAGATAACTTTTTTTTTCGTTTTAATTTTTCACACTTTGATAACTGTATCTGCAATTTTCAAAATAAACAATACAATTTTTTTTTTTTTGTATTTGTAATTGTCAGTCAGTATAAAGTTATCAAAATAAACAATACAATTTTTTTTTTGTATGTGTAATTGTCAGTCAGTATAAAGTTGAACTGACAAACTGAAAGTGGTAACACTGCCAGACACTAAAGTGAGGCATTGTGGGTTGTATTTTGCTAGCGTGTTCCATTCATGGTCTAGTTTACTGTGGAAATCTAATTTACATGCCAAGTGTAATTTTCTCACGTTCTGTCCAATAACCATAGACTGGGCCACTTTGCGGTTGTGTCTGGACCACATGTGGCCCCCGAGCCACTTTTTGAATAGATAGGTGGTAGACCTTTTTTCTTATGGACTAACTTACCTTTTTATCTAATGCCCCAGTTTGTTATATCGTTCTGACTTTATGGTGACTGTTGAATTTGTGATGCCTCAGGTTTTTTTATTCTTTTTCTTTTTGTTCTGTCTGTGCTGAACCTTCCAACAAAAGGATCCCATTAATGCTTCTGCTTCTGCCAGACCGTGGTAACGGCTGTAAGTTACAGCTCAGTAAATAGTTAGAAAACCCTCCTCCACCTCATTTGATTGCTGTGAGTGCACTGGCTGCTACTAAGTGCTGTTTTAACTGTGATTTGATAATTGGGTGAACACAGCCACATCTCACATTATAACAGGGTGTGTGTGTGCTTTCAGTTTTATTTTCCTTCTCAATTAAAATGCACAGATTATTGGTCACATTAAAGTCGGAAAAGGCGCTGAAATTTGATAATGCTGGCCTGGTTCTTTTACATCAAAACCCTGGCGTTTTTTAACAGGGCTGTGTAAACTCGTTCTATCCACTGTAAGAGTGGCCTTCAGCAGCCCCTCCCCATATGCAGTGACACAATGGAAAATTTAAGTAGACACAAATTAAAATGGGCCTAAAAAGTAAACAGACGTTGCGTGTCAACGTTTGTGTGCCTGGGGGAACATCAAGAAACGAAAATCCAGCCCTTGCATTTATTGGAATATGTCCCTAAACGTCACCATGTGTTGCTGTAAGTGTAAAAATATCCCGGGCCGATCTCTTCCTGCTCCTCTGGTGTGCTCCTGATAGAACGCGGATCAACAGGAACAGTCAGAGAGGAGCTGATCTCTGCAGCCTGTTGACACAGCTGCTCTCCGCTCCGTGCTTTGACCTCATAATACGCTGCCGATCCGGGTGTATCTGAAGTTGTTGGTGCGGAAGTGGAGCACAAACAAGTTTTGGTTTTGTTTGGCCCAGGTTCCCTGCCGTCGGAGCTCACGCTCCACGTACTGTATAAAGAAAAATGATAGCTCGCTGAAGGAGCACGTAGCAGCTTCTTGTGGAGCATCAGTGGGATCAAAGCAGTTGTTCTAGTCCTGCTGCCTTCAGTGTTGGTCTTGGACAAATGTCATTACTGCTCTATATATTTATCTCTCTGTGGGCTCTCCTCCTCCTCCTCCTCATCCTTCCTCTCCTCTTTCTTCCTCCATCAGCATTCTGTCCTCCATCACCCACCCTCCAGCATCAGAGCTGAGGACCCCAGAGAGTTACATCTCTGCAGAGAGTGAGGGGGAGAAGGGAGAGCGAAACGGGAAGAAAGTTTGCTTCAACGTGGCTGGTGACGAGCAGGAAGACTCTGGACACGACACCATCAGTAACAGAGACTCCTACAGGTAGAATCAGTCGTCAGAAACATGCAAACTCTACGATGACCTTTTTTAATATCAGTGTTGTTGACAGTAAGATGTTCCTTCTCCCTGTGTCTCTCCTCAGTGACTGTAACAGCAACAGGAACTCCATTGCCTCCTTCACCAGCATCTGCAGCAGCCACTGCAGCTCCTACGTCCACAGCGATGACATGGACTCAGGTACACAAATACAAAATGATGTTTCCTTTTGCATTATTTTAAATTTCATAGTGTTTGCATTTCATATCGTCACCATAACCCAGTGGTTCTCAAAGTGGGGAGCGGGTCCCCCCTAAAAGGTGCTGAATGATTGCATTCATACAATGTGAAAAACTGACTGCGTTTGAAATAAAGAACAAAAGAAGGCATGGAAACACACACTTTAACTTATCTCATAATCCTAGCTAATTGCTACCTCACTAATATGTAGCACTGCTACTGTTGTAGGTAGTTTACATACTTACGGCATCATCATAAATTAGCCTAATGTTAGTGAGAATTAGCCGAAAAGTAAGATGGATGAACCAGAGGAGGACTTGTTTTTTGGGGGGAAATTTTAGCTAAAAATGACACAAACAAACAGCCAAAACTGTTGTTCAAATTGATCTGTTGCAATGATTTAAGGTTAAAAATATAGTTTTGTCATATTTCCCAAGGGGAAAAGTCAATTAAGGAACAGTGAATTTCCTCCCATGCTGCTGCTGGATAAAAACAATTTCAGGAATGAAATTTCGTGCCACATAAAACCAGCCCGGGAGTCGTGTTTGGTCACATGACTTGAATGCAAAATTTACTGTAAGCTGGGGTTTGAATCAATGATCTTATCAACAGCTATGTTAAGTTATGAAATCCACTTATTTATATGTGAGAAGATTAACAAAAACACAAAGAAAACTTAAGAAAATATAATTGCATACGTCTGGTGTTTGACGTCACGTCTCAGCTGGAATTGTCATTGACGTGAAGCCACAGCTGTGTTTCCTGTTAAATATCCTTCCCCATGGTCTCTGATGACAGCTCTGACACACACACACACACACTTCCCATTGAGGTGGAATGTTAGCTATGAGTTGTTTTTTTAATTCTTCCTAAGTGTCACAAAGTACAAAAGAACATTTTAGGTAATGGTGACAAATTTTGAACACCTGTCTGCAGGCGATGAGATGCCGTCCAGTGTGTGGCTGTCACATGATAAGCAGAAGAAACTTCACAGCTTTTTGGAGCATCTCTTTAGCCAGGTGAGAGCGTCACTAATCAATTACATGATGTAATATGTGCAGTACACTGTTTAGTATTTGCTTCTGAGGAAAATGGAAAATAGAAAATATTTTTGGATGTCTTCATTCAGAGTGAGAAAACTCTGTCTCTCTCTGCTTCCTGTCACTGGTTTTACTCTACACTTTCTACCGCTCGTTTTTTCCGGGTATTGCTTGTAGTAAAAATATATTTGCTGGGCAAACAGCAAATACAGCAGCAAATTCAGTTGCTGCTTGTGACATTTATGAGCCAACGCAACGTTTTTTCTAATCAAATAAACACCTTTGGTCACAAATCTGATGTAGTCATGATGATATGAAGGTGGGACGTGGAGATATCTGATGTTTACAGCTGTTTAGATTGTTTATAAAAAAACCCCAAAAGGCTATTTCCACTGCGGAGCAGCTGATAAGAGTTGCAGATTGAGGACTCCGGCTCTAGATAAAATCTGAGTGTTTTGTGGTAACAGGACATGACCTTAATTGCCCTCCCCTCAGGTGGACTCCGTCACTAGCATGCTGCGTGGAGCGGTGGTGGCTCGGGCCTTCGAGCAGACAAAATGTTTCACTCCTGGAAGAGGGTTACAAGGTAAGAACCAGAGCGGTGTGCTGATGCGTCGCCATCCTTGAAACGCTCCTTCCTCAGCACATTTGTTACAACCACAGAACACAACAAAGCCATTACAACACACAAACGTCTGATACAGATGTGCAGCCTCGGTTCATTTCTTTCTTTTTTTTTTTTGCTCTTCACATTCGTCCTTGGGGGCAAAAAAAAGATAAAACTGTTAAAACTTCAGAGTCCACTCAGCACAGAGAGCAAACACTGCACTTTGTGTAAAAGCTGCAGCTGCCTGCACAACAGGGACTTCGACTTCCTGTTGTGTTAACAGTGTGTGTGTGTGCACAGATGTGACGGTGGAGTCATGAGGGACGGACATTGGACGGATTGAAACACCAGTTGGAGTCTCAGACTTATCCTTACATTTTATCAGCTCTGTCTCCCTGCCCTGAGAACTGAGAATGACTCTGCAGTTCTGTTGGTTTCATTCTCAACATTCATCGAGATAAAAGGAAACCAGCGGCTCTGCCACAGTCACATTGTCCTCCTGCAGTAATCTGATGACTGGGTTTTCTCCCAGGGTTCATTTGCCTCCAGACCTCATCTTGGCCGTGGTGTTCAACAGCTGTGGCTATTGTTACACTTCTGTGTCTATTACAGGAAAGTGGAAGAAATGTTGCTGGAAAAAGGCTGAACGTAATCCTCATCATTTCCTCCGGCAAATACACACCGGTTTATAGATACACACACACTGGTCGACAGATACTGTTAAATACACTGTTTGTGCGGTGTGTGTGTGTGTATTTACTTACTAATGCTTTATGTTAAGCAGCTCAGATATGAAATATTTATTGTTTTTTTATTTTCTTGGCCCTTGAACCTAAACTACAGCTGTAGTGCTTTTTGACATAATAGCGACCCCTTCAGCTCACAGTGAGTCAGCGATTTTAGATCTGAGCCCATCAGTAACCTTCAAGGGTTAGTTTGTTAATTTTTTATTTCTCTAATTAAACCTGTTTGACTCTATAAAGTTATCAATACCTCATTCATGGTTTTCAAACTATGATACCTGTACCAATAGAGGTTCCAAACTAGAGTTTTCTTGCCTTAAAAAGGTTAATATTTTTTAATACGTATCAACTTAACTTAAAAAAATACAGTGAGTGACTTTAATGATGAGACAATGAGTTGAATGAAACAAACAGACTTGTAGCACCATTAAAAAGTTATTACATTTACATATTAAATTCAAGTTTGAATTTATCAGCTGCAGCTCAGAGGATGTTTTTATGAAGGTGTTTTTCTTGGTCTCATTATCGAAGAAATTAGAATTTCACCGACTCTAGTGTTCTTCATTATTCGTAGCTTTAAGATTCCATTTTTCATGTCAATAATGCGCTGTCGTGTTTGCATGGAAATGCTTTGTTATCTAACCATGAACACAAATAGGACAGAGTGACATTCTGATGCCACTATAATAAAAGCATCAGTGATTTAATATTTATTGCTTTTTTAAACACTAATGTGCATCAAATTAGCTTTTCCATCAAACACACTGCTGTATATCTTTATTTCTGTGACGGTGTCATGGAAGGATAGCAGTGCAGTCACATTCTGCTCATCATCATCTTCATCATCTTCATCTGTACTTCCGTGTGTGTGTTTGTCAGACTTCCAGCAGGAGATGGAGCCCAAGGTGAACTGCACTAAGAAGCTGCGTCTCCACGTCAAACAGGATCCCTGGAACCTTCCCAGCAGCGTTCACACCCTCACACAGACCATCTCCAAATATGTGGAAGGTCAGTGAGCACCTGAGTCAGCACCACTACTTCCGTACAACACACACACACACACAACCTCACACACTGCTACTTTTGTGTATCTAAGAACATAAAGCTTTCCTAAACAGTCACAGTGAACATTCATCACAGAAGATGTCTACTCCTGGCAAGTGCATTAAATTGACAAATTCCACGGCGCCCTCCTGATATATATGAGATGCTATAACTGCTGGAGTCCCAGGTCGTCCCACGTCACTAAATCCTCTGCTCTCTGGAAACCTTAAACCCAAAGGCATCATGGGAGTCATAAATTTAAACCATAGAGACGCAGCGCAGAAAATCAAACCCAGTTTTATCGGCAGGTACAGTGCATTGTTTGGCCTCTACACGTGTGGTCTTCTTTTTCATCTGCTTTTTAAATCAATCACAGCAGATCATTGAAGTGGATAGCTGAACTTCAGAATAAACATCAAAAAAGTGATGTGACTTCAAATGTACCGTGGTGGTTGTTGCCAGAAGTATTAAGTATTCCACAAAAAATATGTGTCTGTGGGGATTTTCCTAGAACGTTTCCAAGGTTTAAAGAGAAAATATCAATTTTCTTGCCATTCTCCAGGGGAAATTTCTCATTGTTTTTTTTGGTATTTCTTACTGAAATTGGTGCAGCATTTAGAATGTGGGATTAAAATTCACCATGAATAACTGCCTTTTTATAACATTAGTGGTGTGTGTGGTCCAATTTTCTTGCCTCTTAATACTAACTCGTCATCTAAATGCCACAGTCTACTGCCCCTGAGTATTGTTGTGAAAAATGTTGGAAAATATGCATCAAACCTGTTTTCTCGACAAGTAAGTTCAATGTCATCCTTAGTCACAAGGTCTCAGGCGTACGGGGAATGATGGGATATGATGAAAGCCCGAGCCGCCGAAGCTGCAGACGTTATGGTGACCCTAACTTATGATGAACATTCCTATTATCGATCTGTTGAGTCAAATCTGTTGGCATGAAGGTAAAAGAACATCCAGGCTTGTACCTTCAGGGTGTACCTAATGAAGTAGCCTGTCAGTAACTGTAGACATCTACAGACGCACTAACTGACGTCCAGAGCACGGCCACATGCCGTGACAGAATGTGAAGCTCACCGATGCAGACTAATCTGTGAATTTGTCCCATAAAAAATTCATTAACCTCTGAGCTCTGGTCACATGACACAGGCTGAGTTAATATTAATGCACTCCGTTGCTGGTCTACAGTACTTTTCTTTTTTTTTCTTTTCTCCCCATGATGACTTTTTGTCATGCAGTGCTGAATCCTGCCAGCCTCCGCTCAGCTCCGATACATCTGTAAACAAAGCAGGATTTATGTTATTATCATTTCTCTTTTGGCCGATTTTTATGATGAGGATGCCGTGTTTCTTTATTTTGGAGGAGTTACACAGGACTGTCCTAGGTTTTCAGTAAAGGTCCCACAGTTGAGGACACGTCAAGACTTCCATGTTGTATAACCACCTTGTTGGTTTGTTTCTTTTTGTTTTCAGAGGTGAAGACCCGGCTGCTGCTGGTTTTACTACAGTACACAGGTTTGTCTTGTGTTCTTTTTACTCAGCGATACAGAGGAGCATAATATCCAGTACAGTACTACTGAATATCCTGTATACTCATCCCCTAAGGTACCTTCAGGAACCAAACTTTTAATAATAAGTGTAAAATACTCAGTTTTTACTGTTATACTTTAATCTTACGACTCATTTCTTCATTTCTGTTGAGCTCATTATTAACTCAGTATATTACCAGCCTCCTTTTATGGCGACTATTTTTCCTCAGGAAATTGAGGCGGCCAATTATTTTCCGCTCGGGCACACCTGTCACTTTCTCTCATATTTTCCTCCAGTACAATATTTAACACCACACATATAAAAAAACAAAAAACCAAGACACTTTGTTACTTTACAGGGAGATCAGGCGTTGCCATGGCGCCCAGTCTGTTTCATTAACAAACTCAGACTTTTACCACTCCTCACCTAAGTTAATTATTTTTATTCACTCCCTTTTTTTAAACCTTTTATTTTAACTTTTTTTTCATTTGCCCTGGCAGACTCAGAGATCCAGCTGCGTCGGGACATGGTGTTCTGTCAGTCTCTGGTCGCTGCCGTGTGTGCGTTCACAGAACATCTGCTGGCCGTGCTCAACAAGGTTATTACTTTGGATTTAGAGCAAAACAAGCTTTAATCCTGCAAATTATTATTTAAATCATTTTGTATTTTTGTGATTATTTTGTTATTCTCTCCCCATTTAGTTCCACAATGTGAACAGGGAGGACCAGGACACCTCGGACCCGCAGGACCATCAGGACTCCCAAGAAGCCAGTCGCCAATGGTTGGAGCAGATTGCCAGCACTGGGCTGCTCCTCCACTTCCAGTCCCTGCTCTCGCCCAACCTGGTGAGCTCTATACTGAACATTCATACCCAGAAATCAGCCTCTCTGCAGACATGGTTAGCAGTTGTATTCCAGTCAGCATTTTTTTTTCATTGTTTTCCTCGTGACTAATCCATTTTATTTCATGTCATTGAAGGTTGCATCATCTTCATCGCTGTTACCTTTTTACTCATTTTCATTAGTCATTATACCGTGTCCTCACATTTGAGTTATTCCAGCACCCTGGTTAAAGATTTTCTACATTTTTTCCCTCTGCTCTTTTTCTGCCCTTTACATCATCAACCACACTGGAAAACATTTTTATTGGAATGAGGTATTTAGGCCTCTATTTCTATGTCCTGTCACTGGGAATCAGGAGAACAGGAAAGGCTATAAAAGTGTATTTAGGATAGAGGGGTGTGTGGCTAACATCAGGTCCCCAGAAAAAGAGTGTTGACGCATTTCCCTCCTCACCCTGCCAAGCTGTCTGTTTCTGTCTGTTATTCTTCTTACACACAAAACGTTTTTTCTCTAAGCATCCCTGGTTGCTAAACGAGACTGTAGTTAAAATTCAGCCTGATCGTTCTTTGGCGCTCCACGTGACACAAAGATATTCTCACTGGAAAAAGCAAATAAATTACAAATCATTTTTCCAACTTTTGAATAAATTAAAAAAAGAATTATAATTTTTTTTAGACCTGCAATAAATCCACACCCCCCATATTGGGAACCACTGTTGATTTTTTTGTCTGTTCTCTCCTTCTCCTCAGACTGACGAGCAGGCCATGTTGGAGGACACCGAGGTGGCCCTCATTGACCTAGAGAAGGTCACATTCTATTTCCGACAGTTTGAAGGAGAGCCTCTGGTGGCCAGTACGTCCTCCGACTCTTTAATCACGCAGTCGGCGTAGAAGTTTCTCTACCGCTGAGAACGTCTAATGTCTCCTGACATTTAAGAAAGGCCTGCTCTGAATCACCCCTTCTTCCCCCTTCTGCCCCACAGACATGCCCATCTCATATCAAGTCGAGGGCACGCGTCAGGCCTTGAAAGTTTGCTTCTTCCTGGAGAGTTTTTACTTCTCCCAGCTGCCTCACAGACTGAGAAACGGAGGAGGAATCAAGATTTATCCTGTGCTCTTCACTCAAGGTCTGTACTGCATGCAGTGCAGGTAAAATCCAAACACACATGATGAAGTGCATCATTAATGCATGCTCTCCTGTTCTTTATTTCGTCGGCAGCGCTGGAAAGTATGGAGGGATACTACTACAGAGACAATGTTTCAGTAGAGGAGTACCAGGCCCAGATCAACTCAGCCTCACTGGAGAAGGTCAAGCAGCACTACAAGAGACTGAGGTATGTTGGACCAGACTTTGGTTTAGTATTCAGCGGTTATTTTAGCGTCAAGTGTCAATCACAGCGACTCGACTCTCACCGCACAGCAAGCCCTCAGAGTGACTGGGCCGCGAGAAACACAGCGGTGAAGTCTGGTATGATTGGTTGCGGACAGACACAGCGGGGCAGAGCGCGATTGGATAACAGCACCCAGCGTGTTGGCAGCGCTGATTCAGTGCTTTCTTACGACAGCTGCACTCAGTTACCTCACACCCCATTGGTTTGCGGCTCACAGGACACATTCTGTGATTGGTGGATAACTTAATGAGGTGGAAAGAGAAAAATACAGCCTCAGCTTGATCTATTTACTGAGTGCATGAGTAGGTGCCAGTCCTCCAGAGTATGCTGTCCGAATGTGAGTGTTACTTCAGCAGTGCAGCTGGTAGCCATGTTGAGGCTCAAGGCAGAACCAAGAGTTAACACCCCACTGTGTCCTTTAATAAAACAGTAATAACTAACACTAAAGTATATTTCTTCATATCTTAGTCCTTACTGACCTGTTTAGTTGAACATGATGCTGACATACTGGCAGGAATTGAACAAAGACACTCAAAGATCATCTTCAACTGCTGAGTTCTCTTTTAGTTTTTTCTTTAGGCATCATCTGCCACCTAGTGGAAGAGTATTTAATTTTGTGTTTTGTGATCTCATACCAAACGAGTGAAGTTTTCCACGGTACACCTGATGATATTATGTGTCACGTCAAAGTGGTTGGGGATTCGTGCTATAGACCAGTGTTTCCCAAACTTTTTTTCTGGCGACAAATATTTTAGAAGTCCCAAACCTTCACGACCCAAGTCAATAGACATTATTCGTAAACTCCGGGCCGCAACCCAGTCTTTGGGAAACAATGCTATAGATCTGCAATACACACTACAGACCTATGGCACTCAGTAGTCTCTAAGTCTAGTCTCTAAACAGAGGTCTGACACATGTCCTAACACATTAGGAACTGTAAAAGCCTAATCCATATTGTGTACCACGGGTCGTGTACTACAGAGGTTTAACACTATAGTACAGTTGCTGTATTGGGTATTTAGTAAAGTGTCTGTTTGGCATTTGGTGTTTGAAGACACTCATTAGCTTCAGAAGAGTGACAGGTGAACATGTTTCCTCCAGCTGAACATCTGCTGCCAATTGAGTGAAAAACTAAACACAGAGCAGGGTTCAATGTGAAATGTCATCTTATTATTTAGTAACTCTCTTCTTTGGGGAACGGGGAGTTTGGAACCTTTACTGTTGACTCTGACATCTGCCGCCTCACTGACGGCTCTGCCACAACAAAGCAGCTTTCATTGTGTTTAATTTCTTGGTAGTGTTTAGTTTGATGAGAAAAAAGGGGGAGATCAAAGGCTTCTATGACTTTTCTGCAAACGTCAGTTTCCCCAAAGCACTTGATTTTAGAATCTCACTTTGTCATTTGTTCCTCGTTGCATCAGTTCTTCCCACTTTCTCCTCTAATAATTTCTGCTACATCATGAAGGACAAGTCTTAAACTGTGGATGCTAATGCTCACTGTAGTATACCATGTAATCTGTATGGATTATTATCTAAACCATGACCAGTGTTTCCTCAGTGTGCACATGTTCTATACACTTGTGTGCACTTTGACCCGTACAGGAAGAGTCCAATTGCAGTGAGAGCAGAGGGTGAGGCAGGAACTGGGAGCAGATGTGGAGTGACAGGCCGTGCAGTGGGGCTGGTGATTAAGGGAACATTAGGGCTGTGTGTAGATCAGGGCTTTTCTTAAGACACTCAAATAGAGTCAAACTGTTCACGCTTGTCACGTCATCAATCTACCTTTTAGCCAAACCTGTCCAGGCCCAGAGCTGTGGATCATTTAAATAGAGTTCTGGGGGGGAACCCCACGTACACAGTGGAGTACACACTTTTGTACTACACTAAAATACAGAAGAATCTCTGGAGATGATGTAAGAATGAGGACAGAATAGTGGAATACTAAATAATTCAGGTACTTTTTTCTGTTACTTCATCCAAACAAAAAGAAACATTTGAGACTTTCAACATTTTGATTATATACAGTCTATGATTTTAACTGGCACAACTTCTATATCTATCAAGTTATCTATTATTATGTTTTTTTGTGGGTTTTTTTATGGGTTTTTGTGGGGGAAAACAAATTTAACTGACTGTAATAGACACAGTGATTGAGGTTTAATTTTTTTTTTATATTTGATTTTAGCTAGTATTATGAATCAGCTGTAATAAAATAACAGTGAAGTCCAGGGTCTCTTAACTCTCTGGGCTCAGAGGTTCTTATCAGTTCCCTTACCAATTGGACAGGTTAATTACCAGACAACATGTAGATGCAGGCCAGTTTTTGCAGGCCAAGACAAAGCTTATATAAGAGAAGTAAAAACAAATTTTAAAAAATATGACATTAAGGTCAGATACAGTCAAAAATCTTTCTGAGAACTTTTTGACCGAGCCTGCGGGCCTCAAGTGTCCCACTTGTAAATGCAGTACAGGATTCAGAAAGATCTAAAAACAACTGTGTGTCTTTTCTGGCCAATCCGCGGTCCCCTTGTCAATGTATAATTTGGACCTTGCCTAAAAAAAGCCACATATTTGGGTCACTTCTGTTCTTTCTGACAACATCCAGCTGACACATACCAAGGCTGTGGCCATTTTGTGGCCTAGATGTCCCTGAAACAATCAAACATCCCAGTCTCATCATTAAGTATATGAACCAGATGTATTATAAGCAGATATGAGGCGAAAATGTTTCACTCCAGGAGTTCTGACATAAGTCCACATCATATTAAGTTTGTTCCAATATTTACACGACTTTACTGACCTTTCCTAATGACAAACTAATTGGTTTTGCATCACTGGTAGTAAATTCCCAACTTCTGCGTTGACACGAAGTAAAAACAAAGTAAAAACCATCAGTGTGACATTCTGAATAGTTTGTCATCCGCCCGCCGCCGCGTGTCTCTGGCCTGACCACAGGCCCAGCTGTGATGTCACTCCCGTCTCCTTCCCAGCGTTCCGACCTCAGGCACCTCGTTATCCTTGGAGCCGGTCCATGGCAGCGTTGGGTTAAACCCACGGTGTGGACCAGTGCCACAGACTGACTGACAGTGTGAAGCGGCCGAGCACACGCAACACTGAACTGCATGAACCGCCGTGCTGAGATCCCGTGGTGTTTTTCGTTAACCTTTGGTTTGGTTTTGTAGCTCCAACTGAACCTCGTGTGCATTACGGAGAAATGAGATATTGATTTGCCGGGAGACGCGGTGGTATTTTATACTGACATTTTGATGTGGAGAAATAATAAGGTTGAAAATTAATTTAGTTTTACTTGCTTAAATAGCATCAGTTTTTGAAATAGGGATGAAATCGATCGTTATTCCACTGATTTTCTGGAGGCCCCGCTCTGTTTTTCTTCTTCACTCACTCTTACCCACAAATCGTGCAGCGCGGTCCAAAACCATTGTGTCTGATGAAGTCATTTGAATATTTTGTCAAGCACAAACTCAAAAGACAAATCACAAGCACATGCTTCAGCCTTGTTGCACTCACTGGCAAACACAGATATTTTCCGAGCCATCATAAACCATCTCAGCTGGCGTGTATTTAACAGGCAGAGATATGAGAGTCTGACATGCACCAAAGTGACAGTTTTCTCATCCATAACGCTATTTTTTTTCAATTCCCTGTTGGTTCCATTCTACAAAGAGCAGCTGAACATTGTCAGTCCTAATAAGGGAAATAAAACTGACAAATTCTATGCAAGTATTGTTAAAAAGTTTTTTTTCACTCCATGTACCTTATTTCTTTGTAGCAACAATCTAAAGAAAGGAGAGGGGAAAAAAATTGAGCTCCAAAGAAAAGTGTTTTCTCCTTCAGGACGGTCTCAGCAGAGAAGGGAAGATTGAAAAGGGAATAACGACCGCAGGAGCAGATTTCAAAGATGGATAGGATTTTAGGAGAGCAATGAAGATGATGGGGTGAGGAGGAAGAGGGGGAAGATGGGGAGCCGGAGGGGAGAAGTGTGATGAGTGCAGAGTGGAGGGAGGGCAGAATAAGTCGGCAAATGTTTTATTCAAAGGGAGGGATTATTGCAGACTAGTGGCTCCATCACATTTTGGACTTACTGACAATGAGTTTGAGGAGAGAGTTGAAGAGTGGGTTAGATGAATCAGAGTGAACGATTAGAGGGAAAAAATCCTGAATCCTGTGTGTACCATCATCATATATACAACAAACTGAGTGTCTAAACAGAATAACAGTCTTTGTCATGTTTGAATTTCCATGTTGTAAATAATAAATAATAGATGTTTGTAGCTTTCTTTTATATGTGCTTAACCCAGTGGTGGAGCTAGGATTTTGTTGCCGTCAAGTGGCCACAATATTCATAGATGGGTCAAGTATTTGTCTAACATCCTTGCACACAATCCCCAGTTCCCAGACTGTGGTGCAATCTTAAGGAAAACACTGAGCAAAACAAGCTGTTTTAGGCAGAAATATCATTTCTATCCATGTAACTGGTCACAGGACTACACTGCAGCCAAACACCAGAGTCAGCCTGGATGTATAACCTTAAGTGTAGCACAAGAAGATGACATAGAAGTACACTACCCACATACTGCGGCACTCCTTAGTCATTTGTTTCTTTACTGTCACTAGTCTCTGAGCTGCAGTTTGTTTTAGGAAAAAAATGTTTGATGTTCGCTGCAGGTCAGGGTTTATGTTTCAACACAGCAGCCACTTCTGCTTTATCTGTGTTTTAAGGATTCACTCTTGGTTATAGATGAGACTACTGTACATGGGTTTAGATGATGCCAGTGACAGGAGAAATATTGTCACAGCGCCCCCTGGTTTGACTCCAAATATCTGGTGTTCTTAACCTAAAATTTTAAAACAATTGTCAGCAAAACACGCTCCACTTTTTGACATTACAATTTCCCTGCACTCAGAAACAGGTTTGCATTGTGCACCTAGATGGCAGCAGCTGCTCATATTCACAGCGTGTTCACAAGTGCAACTCTACAGCCGTGTAAATAAACGAGACATTTTGACAAGTAGTTTTTTGTAAATTGCTCCGGCTGTTCTCCAAGGACAGCCCTGCAGTACAGGCCGATGGGTGACATTCATCGGCGTCGCTAAAAGACACGAGTCCCATCAAAGACTTCAACGTCAAAACAACAACAACACAAATCAGCTCAAAAGCACAGTTATTACATACAATTCATGGCTTTTCTGGGCGTCCTCTATTGACGACTTTGAAGAATAGGCTGCTACAGAATCCTTCATCAGGTCTGATATCTATTATTTTCCTGAGCTCCTCGCTCGCCGTGTGATCGCCTCACTAATCTAAGAAGTAATTTGAGTTCATCTCTTCACCAGAGAAAAAAACAAAACCTTGATTTGTCTGTATTAAAATTGATTGTGTGTATAATTAAAATGAAAAAATTCTCCAGTTTCAGATGTGACCTAAACGCCACAGTCTGAGCGCTGACAGGAGAAGATCCTTCAGTTAGCAGGCACCGACGCTTGTTTATGTTTTATGGTGTTAAATATATAAATGCAAATCAATGTACTGATATATTTGGCTTTAAAAAAAACAACAGTGTTTGACTTGTGCTCACTGTATGCAGAGTCTGAACGTCCTATTGACATGTGAGGAGCAGAACAAAATTAAATATTCACAGTGGAACTGTTGGTTAAAACCGACTCCACCAGAGTCTTTGGCCTGATGCCAAGTACTGCATTAGACCAGTGTGTGTGTGAGAGTGTATGTGTGTAGGCATGCTAGTAGCAGTGACATTTATGCTTGGGTGGAATCATGTTGGTGCCTTGGTGATATTATTGTCTGGCGCCCCCTATCGCCAAGTATTTTAATTGTTTTTTTACAGCTTCATAGATTTAGTTTGAAGTTAGGATTAAAATAGGCACCAGATCATAGTTGTAGGGTAAGGGGTGTCTGTAGACGGTGCATTCACTGCTGTCTGTTAATAAATCTGTTGAGTCTTGGACTTTTTTGTTTGTAAAACAGCTCCACATTTGGTCCATTCACAGGCGATACATAAAATCTCACAGGGAGCTGATGCAAAACGGCTGAGGTGCTGCGTGTGGCCCAGGAGCCAAGGGTTGTAGACCCCAGACTCAGGGAATCAATAATGTATCCAGAATTCTCCACAATGCACAAAACCCTGTGTGTGTGTGTGTGTTTCTGTTGTTGTGGCGCTACAATTGCACCAAGAGCTACAAAGTTATTGCTTTCAGTTGCCCTGAATTTTTTTTAAGGAGCAGTAAATAACCAGAGGAAATGTAGAAAAATAGGACGTTTTTGAAATTGTTATTGTGACACAGGTGATTGACAGGTGGTGGATTTGGTTTGGAGCAGGTTTCTGGCTGAAAAACCTGAGAAATTTTTCATATCTTCCCATTTATTTGTCTGTGTGTCTGTTGTCTACAGCAGCGTGGATTCACATCGTCACATCTACTTCCTCAAATGAACCTGAGCTCATATCAATGAACCGCTGCTGTTTGAGTTAGTTGGTCAACATAGTCAATGACAGGAAGTCAGTGGAAGATGGAACTTTTCTTTGGTTTCACCTGACGTGGAGTTAAGTAAGGTTTAAAATAAAAGAACCAGTTACTGCATCTTTAACTCAGCTCATTTTTATTTTTAATGTTTTTTTGGACTGAGTATCCAGACAAAGTCGGACCACCTGCAGGCGTTGGAATCCATACGGAGTTGGTCTGAGTTCTGAGGTTCGGAGTCGTTGTTACTTTCTATGAGGTAACAATGTGAACTCACTCAATCATGTGGCTGATGTATGTTTGCCTTTGGGCCTTAAAGAGCCCTGAGGTGTAAACCTGAAGACTATGGTAGAAGTTTGGAGAAACAGTAGACACCCGGTGGATTCAGAGTGTGTGTGCGGTTCACTCTCAACGTCACAGCCGTTTGTTTGCACACTGTGTGTGGGCCTCAGAGGTTCATTTGTCATTCATTATAAATGTTTCTCAGGTGCGCCGGTGTATGAGCCTCTGAGAAAACATCATCACCTCAGAAGATGGAGTGGAGAGCGCGTCCCCTTTAAAACCACACATCACTACAGCTGTCTGACTCCTATTATTTAGTCATTACAGACCTTCAGGAGAAGCAGCCCGGCTCCTCCAGCTTGGTTGATAGTATATTTAGAGCCGTAGAAAACGGAGCGAGATGATTAGTGAGTATTATGACCTCGACTCTGTGAGAACAGTTGTGCTTCCGTTTCGCATAAGATGGATAAACAAACGAGCAGAGTCGGCCACTTGTGCATAAGTCAAGTTGTCCCGGACAGATTCTATTACAGGCCGGTACGATAAAGGACTGAGGAGCGGAGTAGTTAGGCCGGTACGATAAAGGACTGAGGAGCAGAGTAGTTAGACAGAAAGAAAAGAAAGAGAGAGAGAGAGAGGAGTCACTGTCGGAGCAGAGAGATACCAACGACCTGCAACACCAACAGTTTTAGCATTTCAATGTCAATACCGTTTACTTTTTAACAGCTTTCTCATGTGTTTAATCATCTTTCTGAATATTACTGCAGTACTTTGTTTTCACTCCTGCCCATAATTATAGTCACTGACCAGGATTTGCACATTCACACACACATTCACACACACACACATTATGTTTTCAGTGCAATAACCAAACTGAGGAAATCAAATATTTATAGCTTTATTAAGCCGACCATTTAGAACTAGCTGCTCCGTTAGCTCTTCCACTGATTCCTCAGCAGTCAGGGCCATTATTATACATTACATGCCTTTTATGAGAGTACTTCAGGAGTACGCGCCGCGATGCACTGTATCTCCAGCTCTATTGTTAGCTTCCCTTTGAAGTATAGAAGGCCATCTTGAACCAATTACATGAGCCGTTAGCTCCTGGTGAACCCTCAGCAGACTCTACACACAGTCGTTCAGCTCAGTGCCAGGGATCAGGGATAGGTTTCCGCTGAGAAACCTCTGACGTGCAAAGGTATCAGGTTGACAAGTCCGTCGTCTGTTTCACAGGACATAGGTGTGCTGTAAAGTTGATTTATACGCAAACGAGCTAATGTGAGAGTAACGAGCCATAGGAGGTAAAGCTCATTGGCCCTTTATTGCTGGTTTCCTGCAGTGTGACTTTGCAGGATGTTGGGAATATTGTGAGTGCGTGTGTGTGTGTGTAACGGGTGTTTGCTACAAGGACAATGAAGCAAGTTCTACTAACTTCACTGAGAACTGACTGAGAATGTAATGTCCCATCATATTTCCACTAAGTCTTCTTACTGCTGATATTATATTTGGAGTCAAGATAAACTCCTGACTCAGGGATGTGTTGGTGCCACTGTAGCTAAATAGTTTCATTAATATTGTGTCAGACTGATCTGCCCCAGACAGAGTGAATGCCCCCCAACTTTTAATCACCTAAAAGCAGAATGAAACGCCAAAAATTGACGATTCCTGCGTCTCCTGTTCTTGTTAAACCACTTCCTTCTCTCACAGTCTTTTGTTTCTGCATCATTTACCCTCTTCACCCCCCACTCCCCTATTGTTGTGACCACAGTTATTTGTACTGTAGGAGCAGACTCTGCTGCATTATTACGGCATCTCACAGGAAGTAGTGGAGCATGTGACTTTATTACGTGGTGTTTTAATATGGTGTAGTGTGACTATTTTTAGCTCGCTGCTGGATTACTTAGATTTGATGGAGTCACAGACTGCTGAGTTTGCACCAGCAACACTTCGGATGGACCCATAGCTGCACACACACATCCCTTCTGCCTTCATCAGGACACCAGCACAGTGCTACCCCCAGTGGCGGGGAAGAGCATTACTCTCTGATTGACCGACTAAATTAATTGATTAACTCGTTAATTAATGAGACAGAAGCCTTTTGGTGTGATGCCCAGGACATTCGGTGGTTTTTTGCTGAGCTGTGCCCAAGTTACTCTGCTGATCGATGGTCACGTACTGCAGCTCTGTAATGAGCCACTGGCCTAGTTTTCCCTAAAAGACAGTCAGTGCACCTGATGACCTAATGGCACATTTTTAAAAATGCCTCTTTTCTGTGTAAACCACTGGGTACTCATTACAAAAGTGAACAATAAAACTGTTTTTAAAATATCTTCTTTAGCAGTATGTCCCTACCCAGCACACCAGGTGGTGCCGTACCTCCTGCTGCAGTGCAATTATCCTGTTAAGAGTTCCTCCGTATGTGACTGTGTTCCTCCTCCCTGCAGGGCTTTCCACCTGGATCAGTCCAACATGCCGCCGAGCTCTGCACCCAAAGCTGCCCTCATCTATAAGGTAGGAGCAGCAGCAGCAGCAGCACACACACAGCAGCCCCTGCTTCATGACATCATGGAAACACAGAAGAAGCCAATCAGATCTCATTAGGCCGTAATGTGGAAGTGTTTACGAATAGAACATCTGCAGGGGCGATGACTGAATAAGATTATATCTATTCTCTATTTAGGCAGGCAGAGGCTCGGAGGAATAAGAATCACAATTACAAAACAGCTTCAGACAACAGCAGAGTGGAGACAATACAAAATGAAAGTCATGAGATGTTCAAATAAAAACTGTCTGACAGTCAAATAAAAACTGTCAACCACAGCAATATCAAGAAAATCCAATCAGTCTGTAGCCTGTTTCTTTATCTGTGTTTTACCATAAAAGTACACATTACACATTTATAAATACAAACATACTATACATATATTTATATTTATACATATTTATATTTGCATATATGTATATGTATAAATATATCTATGGTACACATTACACATTTATAAATACAAATATACTATACATATATTTATATTTATATTTGTATATATGTATATGTATAAATATATCTTACAATATATGTTTATTTGTATGTGTGATTATTTATATATATATATATTTGGCAGAATAATTCATATGGAACACTGTGATAATTTAGGGCTGTATTCCATCGTTGGAAGAAGTTAGAAGAAGGATCATTTAAATTTTTTCATAAGACGAACTGTTTTACCCAAAAATTCTGAAATACATGATCATTTCTAGTACAGTTAGAGTAGTACTCACTATACTCATACACACATATTTTCATGATATATGCTGCGATGACATCCATCCTTCTCTCCCTGTTCAGCTGATGCGTCCTCTCAATGCTCTGGAGGAGCTCTACCGCCTCATGGAGAGCTTCATAAGTTGTCGCCGCACGGCGGCCTGTCAGAACACGGCCTGTGGGGCGTCAGGAGTGGGTCTGCTCACCGTGGCCTCTGAGCTCTGCTCACGGCTGGGTGCCACACACATCGTCATGTGCAACAGCGGCGTTCACCGGTGAGTGTGTGTGTGTGTGTGGGCGATTATAGAGTACATACATCAGCCATCTCCACTTAAATTATAGCTTTCTGCTCCTCATTCTTTCTTCCTGTGACAACTCTCTGTGGTGTTTCTTTCTCCGTACGTCTCTCCGACTCTGACACGCTTCTCAGATTTGACCATTTTCTCCACTGCTCCTCCAGGGGTCTCTTCTGTTCTGCCCTGTCTCCCGACCAATCTGATTAATACTCCTCACCCCAGCTCTCTCCTGCTCTGGGGGATTATATATTAATACTGGTATCTCCGCCTTAATTAACAGCAGCATATTCTCCCTAATAGATCCCATTGTTTCTCAGACCAGGTTAAGGATATTTCAAACAGACACAGCACCGAACAAGAGCAAGGAAGACAGTTCATTTACTCTTCATTGAAGTCTATATATGGCCGCCCAATTCACCTGCAGCTGGAGCTGCTATTCATCAATGTCCGAGGACAGAAATATCCTGATCGTTTGTCACCACTGATCCCTGGTTCCACTCTTCATCTCCCTGCTCTCTGGCTGCTCTAATCCTCTCTTCTCTCTCTCTTTTTTTAACTCTGTGACACATCAACTTTCCCTATCTTTTTGTCTCAGGACCATGCCCCGTGCTCTCACCATCCCTGCCGCCTCCTTCCACACACACACTCACACATTCCTCTGGATGTGACTGATGGTTGGACAAAATGCTACGGATGAAGCAGCCCAGTTGCCGCAGCTCTAATACAGAGTTGCTGTCTGCCTACTGACTGCTGCTACTTTATTAACACACGGCTCGTGTGTCTTTACAGTCATGTACACTTTGAGCCACAACTCACCCAGACTGGCAGAGGAAAGTGTAGCCTGTCATAGCAAGTGACAGGGGATGTTTATCTAGTGTTTCTATGTGAACTGGTTCAATTCTTGATCAATTCTTTATCCTCCAAAGCCAGAGAATGTCTGCTGCAAAGTTTTTGTTTTTCATCAGTTTATTTTTAATTAATGGATCTCATCATTACTTCTCTGCCATTATTAAATTCTCATGTTAAGGTCACATGACATACTCACCAGTTCAGAACAGAGCGAGTCTTATCTCTGTTATATCTAAAATGTGTGGACAGTTAAGTACTGGCTCCTGAAAGTACAACATGGCTGCCTCTAATCCACTAATATGAATCTACACTGACCTTTGACCTCCAAGTAATAACATTCACACAGGCACTGTGAGTGATTCTTTGTTATCAATGTAGGAATCTAAACAGAAATGCTGCTTTGACTGTTAGAGGACGGTCCACTGAGATACAGTGCGGTGCATTCTGGAGATGATTGTTGAGTTCATTACTTTTATTGCATCGTGTTTATGTTAAGCAACCGCACCTCAAGGGAACGTTTGAAACTTAATCTGATTTACTCAAACTAATGGCTGCTGGCGGCAGAGTGTCCCACATGAAAACGTTCTTTTCTTTCCGTAAGGAGACTAATTCAGTAAAGTCGATGTGAATCTATACAGTCAGGGAGGGAGTTTCACCGCAGTCTCTGGGGTGGAACAGTTAAAAAAAAACAAAAAAACTCAGCCTGTATGTGTGGATGATAGTTATTATCAGAGGAAGGTCTCAGTCTGTCACTAGTGGATAACACATTCATGTTAACACTGACACTCGTCCTTGTTCCCTCTTCTTTCACCCTGAACAACAGATATCGGTGTTTTTAATCAGCAGAAAAAATACTGGCAGAGAGATATCAGAAACCTGGTCTTCTTCTGCTCAGACCGACGCTTCTCTGGGCTTCTGTGTGTGTCTATGCACTTGTGGTGTGAAATTGAAATAATTCATTAGTGATTTGACATAGTCAGCTTGAATTTGATCCACATGAAGATGCTAACAAGCGTTTAGCTTCCACTGATGCTCATTTCAGTCTCCGTATGCTGCTCTATCTGACCTTCTGTCATTAAACAAAGTCAGTGAGTGAGTGAAGATGTAAAACGTCTCCAAGGAGCACAGACATTCACTGTATATTTTGTCTTTATGAAGTATTTGCTAATCAACTAATTTAAAAGTAACTTAATGGGTAGCATTTAGTTTTTTGCTATTTCTGACCAGCTCATTACCTTTTGTCAGTCAAAAGCTGTTTTTAGGTTTCCCTTATGCTATCTGTTGGCTGGTGTCTGGTTTAGCTCAGCTTAGCTGGGCTAAGTATGGTTTGGTTGTGGTTTGTTTGTTTCCTCTGACTCGGTTTTATTCTCCTCAGCAAAAGTTTCTTGTCTTACGTTGGTTAATACATGTTCTATCTAGCTAACTTTATCTATCTTTGCTATACTTTGGCTAACCTTTGACCTTTTGTGGCCTGACAACAATCCCAGTAGCCCAGTAAATCAAAAATAGCAAGTCCTCAATTTAGTGAAATTAAATTACTACAAATAAATGAGGTCAGCTAAAACATTTTGGGGAAAATGTGGTTAATACTGAGTGACTTTGATTCATTTTTATTACCACTTATATCAAAGCATTTGTCATTGCCTGAATAATAGTGCTGAATCGTAGCGTGTTTCCTTGCCAATTAATTATAGTTCTAAGTATCACAGAAGCAGCAGTGGAGCCCGGGGTATTGTTTCACTGAAAAAGAGAAACACACATCAGTTTCCTTCTGGTTTCTACGTGTTCATGAGGAGAAGAAAAGAAAAGTACATCCATGCATCACAGTACTGCCTCATCCTATGAGGGCTAATTATGTACTGACTATAATTATGTACTGACTATAATCAGATGGAGAGGCTAAATGTGAGCTTGACCCTGTTCTTCTTCTCTGACCACCAGCTGCACCCTGAGCGTGACATTGGAGCAGGTCATCCTTCTGGCCCGGAATCACGGCCTGCCTCCTCGCTGCATCATGCAGTCCACTGATGTCATGAGGAAACAGGTATGTTCTGCTTACTAGGCATTTGTCCTGCTGCTAAAAAGTCCAAATCATGGTGTATACCAGAGGTCTCCCGTAAGAATTTTTCAAAATAAAACATTGTCAGAATCAGATAATAAATAAAACAGAAATAATTGACCCAACGACTGGTGCTGGTCCGCGGCCCAAGGTTGGGGACCACTGGTGTATACCGTCCTTTTGTGTTTGAACCCACTGCACAGATGACATGGACTCTAGGCTTCAGTTTAAGCTAAGCTACAAAAATAAACTCCGAGAGAGTAGATGTTGTTTTTAATCTTTTCATTCCTATCACACACTATAAGAATGCAATTTCAGGCTCTGTCTTCACCAAGTGTATCTACATTTGATGTCGTTCATAACCGTGAACGTCTCTGCTCTGGGGGCTGTATTAGAAACATTTTCCATTTCTCTTGGCTCCCATTTCTGCCCTGATTTTAATCTTTATAGTTATGCTTTCCCTGTAACTCATTTGGTCAAATGAGGAAATTAGAAATGAAGAACACGGATGCTGTGGTTTTCCTTGACTGTGTATCTGTTTGAGTTCTGGTGTAAGAATTCCCCTGACCCTAAAGTCCGCTGGCGTCTCAGATGCTCATCAGAAGTTTAGTGATTGGTGGTTGTTTTGCCTTCATGCTGCTGCAGCAGGGAGACGTTGGTTTCTACACACAGAGAACTGGGCTGTTGGCCAGGAGGATGAAACTGTGTGGGGTTTGACCTTCACTCTACTGTTTGTGTCTTCATATTATGACACTTCTCTCCAAAGGTGTGGTTTACATTACACATCAGTAAATAGAGTATGGACTGGTGCAGTTAGAGCAGGTGTGCAGCCCTGATTATTAACAGAATTAACACTCAAAGTGTGGGATGTGATTTAAATATCAATCACTGTTTAATGCCTACTCTTTTCTGCTAAATAATCAGACTCAGAAAAATGGCAATCAAGCTGCAATTATTCCACAGCAGCCTAGGTCTGTGTGTACACTTCCACGTCTCACACATGACCCCAGGGTCAAACCAGGCCATCATGGACCATTGGACTAAAACTGTTATTTATTTGGTCATATTTTCTACTTACAGTCTTGCGCTTCTCTAAAAATGGTCACAAATTAGTTTCAGTCTGGAGCCTTGGATATAGATATACTAACGATCATGGGATGGATTAAAGTTAAATTAATGATCCGTTGGAGATTGAAAGCCTAATGTGCTGTCGTATATTTCAGACCGCCGCCCTCGCTTCATTCATCTGTGTCAGAGTCGTAGGCTCTTCGGAGAAAAATGGAGCCCCCATCACCCCGACCCCCCCCCACCCCCACATGTGACTGCGCTGTTGAATGACACTTTAATTTCATTAGTCTTAACAGGAAAAAGAAGGATCAAGAAATAGCATTTTTAAATACCAGGAGAAAAAGAAATGGAAGAAGGAAAATAAATACTTTTATTAAAAAAAAAACAACAGAGACCAGATGTTAGCTGTACATCAGTGGCAGTGAGACAATATTAATTGACAGCAGAGTTTATCCTAATGTCAAGACTGATGAAGTACAACAACAGATGAATCAAGTCCATGTCGACTGCAGCAGGGTGCGATCTTATAGAAGCGCTGAGCGGAGCATAGTCGGGGAGCAGATGTGGCAAACATCAGCCGTCTGATCATGTGTTCTGATTGGTGATCCAGCCGCTGGGCTGAATGAATTAGGATAAGATAAGAGAGAGAGAAGAATCCTCGTCATTAGTTAAGGAGGATATGAAGACGGTGGCTGCAGCAGCAGAGGAGACACTGATTATACATGGTGGCCACAGCTAATGGAAACTGCCAGAAGAACATATTGTCAGTTATCTAAGAGGATGATTTTGAATACCAATGTTTTATTCATGTCAGTGGTCATGACACGGATGACTTTGAATCATCCTGCAAGTGTTTACGTTTCCAAGATAAACAGCACAATTGTTCTGCATTCCATAAGTTCCAGGCTTATATAAAAAAAAAGGGTTATGTTCCTGATCATCTGTGGACACCGAGTCCTGCAGAGACATCAGTAACATCTCTGTCTGGAGGAATCACATTTCTCAAACAGTCCTTGATTTTATCCTGCTCTCTGGACCTGAAAGGATCAGACAGCAGTGATTGCAGATGTCAGAGCTGAAATGGAGAGTCAGCCTCTCGGCTCTCAGCTCTCAGCTCAGGAATGTGGATGCTGATGACCTTTATGGCTGTAGTTCTACAGTAAGAGTGTGTTCTACCTGTGCGCATCACAGAGAGAAAGTCAAGTGTAAGAGCAGGTGTTTGTGCCCCTCCTCCCCTCAGCCTCCGCATGTGTGTCCGCAGAGCTGGCATCCACTGAGCAGCTAACAGACGTATTAGCAAAGAGCAGCCAGCCAGTATTAGAGTTTGTATATATACTACTTCTTCTTTAAATAAATATAAACTATATATGAGCTATAAATTCACCACATTAAAATTATATATATGTGTGTGTGTTTGTGTATTATATAGTTTATTATATTAAATACCATTTTAACCTTATTCTGCATATCTTCTTTGCAACAAATATTTGGTGCATCGCTGACACCTACTGGGCTGTCTCAGAAATGCATTATTTTTTAACATTTTTCATCAGTAATTTTTTCATTGAAGTTTAGGTGTTATAGTCCAACATAATGACAACGCCACATTAATGATAACAACACGTTACTGTTACTATTACGAACATCCTTCCTGTATTGAAATGATGTGTAAATAATGTTTGAGTGGTCTCACTGACTGCTGTAGCTGTTGCAGTATTTTAATAAAGTGTACGACTCCTCTCTTCTCGGTGCGTACATGTCCAGCCCTTGTTTATAATAGCTGCATTTCACGTAGGTCCACCACGTCTTGAATTGATGATTTGTATTTGTCTTGCAGGGAGCAAGAGTTCAGAATTCTGCCAAGAATCTGGGAGTTAGAGATCGCACACCGTCGTCTGTGCCGAGGTGAGACTGCGCTCACGTCCTCTGAGTGGGAGGAAATGTCATCGTGTGAAGTTAAAGGGCTTCAACAGGCTTTACATCTAGAAGAAGCCTCAATGCAAAACCACACACAGGCCACATTAACTGTGTGGTGAAGATGATAGATTAGTCCTTGTCGGTTTAAATCAACGTCTTCACATTATCTGTATTCAAATCATTCCATTAACAACAGAAACAATCAAATTCCACCGCCGTGGGTTTTTTTCCCCCCCACTCACCCTTTAATTTTTTTCTTTTTCCCTTTTGATGTTGAAATAAAAAAAAGCAGACTCTTGAAAACTTAATTTTTTTCTTTTTCCCTTTTGATGATATAATAATAATAATTTATTACCTGCATTATTCAGACTTAAACAAAAAAGCAAACACCGGCAAACACCTTCTGCTGACAGGCGTGTTTTGAATTTCAGACTTCACCTGAATGCACCACAAATAAGTGAATACACTTAAGCACTTCATTATGTGGCAAATAAAAATGAGAAGTCCAAGGCTGGTGTCCAACTGTTGGGACATGCCAATGCAAAAACACAACGCTCAGCAGTAATGTGTTTTTTGGACTCATACTGCATGTGTCTGTGCAGTAGTAGTACTCAGTGTATACTGTACTTACCTCTGCAGGACTGAGACCAAATGGTTCTTTTAAAAAGGAGCTCCCTGCAGCTGCAGAAAGCGGACAAAAAAAAAGTGCCATTTGGCTGTGACATATAGACTTTTGTGTGACAGGCAGAACCTTTTGAACCTCTTAGTGAAATTGACAAATACAATTAAGCCGCAGAATGATTAGTGTTAAGACAACGTGGTCGCAGAGCAGAGCTGCTGCGCTCTGAGCAGCAGGCAGTCATAATTGTCCCAGTCTAAAGAGAGAGGAGTGCATGTGTGAGTCTGTTCAGAGAACGTCTCATCGATGTGACAGTGAAAGGAAGAGAAGTATTGAAGTATTGAAAAAAAATACACAGAAAAAAGTTGAAAATACACTAAAAATAATTAAATGTGTAATACATTTATGTAGTATAGTATTTCCAGCTAAAATGTGCGATTTCTTATACGTACAGCACGCTACTCCCTTTCTGTCCTGTGGGGGTGCTATAAATCTGTTTGAATGCCCTGGTCCACGAGTAGAGTTAGTTTCATGTAATTCTATTCCAAATACCAACGACCCCTTGTATCAGAGTAGGACTGGTCAGTGATTTGTAGATAAGGATATTGTTCAGTTATTTTTGACAGAATAAATATTTAAGAAAATATTGAAATAAAATGTATTCACCTTGCAGGGCCACGGATCATAGCTTCAGGCCCCCCAATTTTGGAACCAATGACCTAAATGTTATAAAAACATACTTATCTACATAAATTAACATTAGTTTTAATTAATTGTGATTTATTTTTTGTTTGCCTTCAAAATACTAAATGCCAACTCACCCCTAATCACTTCAGTTCATTTTCATTATGTAATTAAATAAATGCCATTTCCTCCTGTTTTTTTCTGACCAGGTTGTACAAGCTGTGCCAGCCTCCTCCCCCCGACGGTGACCCATAATGCACCGCACCACAGGAACATGCTGAATACAAACTAGGGGAAACTTCCTCCCTCCACCACTGTGCTCTTAACGTCTCTCCTCACACCATGATGAAGTCAGTCCTGGTTGTTATAAGAGTCATTCCTAACTGCCTAAAGTGTAAATAGAAATGCAACAAAAAAAAAAACAAAACAACCATAAATAGTATTTTTAATACTTTATATTTTTCACCTTTGTATCGTGTATGTATTTTTTAATTCTTCTCGCTATATGAGACAGGAGGAAAATGAACAGATTTGAACAGATTTATCACAGACACAGAGTGTTGGAGTTGACCACGTCCGCTCCTGCGTTCACAGAGATGCTCGGATTTGTTGTACTTCCTCACATTTTTAGGTAAAATCAGCCGAATAACCGTGATGTAAAAGATGTATTTGAACGGTCTGTCTGCTTCCTCCTCCCTGTCTGTAAGGCGTAGCCCTGTGAATAACATCCCTCCGACATCACTTTTATTTCCTCTGTAAATATACACATTAAGGACGGCCTCGCTCTTTGTTTATTTGTTTGTTTGTTTGTTTGTTTGACGTGCATGCCTATAAATATTGTCAATCCTCTATCAGTATTAACATGCAGCAGTATTTTGTTATGGGAGTAGAGATACTATGAGACGATGTTGTGTTATTTTCTATGGACAGTACTCAGGATTACAGTGTCTCCGTCTCACTTGTTAGTGGACGTTATCACTGAGTGGGTGAATGAAGGACAGTGCTATGCAAACGACTGAGTGATAATAAACTGCAGTAGTAAAAAAAACTAGGGCTTGTTATTGTGTCAGTGGAGTCAGTTTGGACCTGGTGGCCAAGTTGTATATTGCAGCCAAATAAAAGCATTTGCATGTACAGTGGTCCCCATTGCGGGTGGTCTTTGGAGGTAACCCCCACGATTGGCAGAAAACCGCGAAGTAGAGATGTGACAGTTATTATATTATTTACGTACAGTATATATTAACCCTTTATAAAGCCTTTGGGAGGCATCGTAGGGTGTGAAAAATGGCAACAACAAAAAAAAAATTAACAAAACATTCACAAATCTCATTTACATGTACGTACAAAAAAAAAATTAACAAAACATTCACAAATCTCATTTACATGTACAGAAGGAGAGTTTGAAATCCAACTCATTTATTTTCATCACATGTCCATGCAAACAGGCAGGCGCTCTATGAACCACTGCAGTCTGTTTGATGGAGACTTGTGTCCAACACCATCTGGTTGCTAAATCCATTTCCCAGATACGAGCCTTCACTGACTGTGCAATGTTGAGTGTGAGTCCAGTTGGAGCGTCCAGCTGCCAGTCAATCACTTTGACTGAAGTCTCAGCTTTGAATTTTTCTCATTTAACTTTTTAACAGAGACTCATGTTGTTTTTCCTGTAACCCTGTCCTCGCCCACTGACAACAATAAGGTCAGTTATATGGTCAACTGTTGCTATGAAACTTCAACATGTTTTATCTGTCAGTGCTGCTGAGATTAGGTCCAGCCTCCATGTTTGGTCCAGTGAGGATTAAATCTGTTTGAAAGTGATTTTTCTTATTGACTCCAGCTCCTGACCACCAATAGTCTCTGCACGTCCTTGGAAATGACCATACGGTAGTAGAGTAAACTGTAATATCACGTCGTACTGGGATGGGCTGGGCAGGGCCGAGATGGGCTGGGCTGGGCTCAGATGGGCTGGATGATGAGTGGATAAATGGGAGTGGCCCAGTCCTCGGCAGCAGCCAGCGAGTGGAAGATTTGTAACGTGTGTCTGGAGCTGAAGTTGCTGCTGCTGTGAAGCCACACTCAGTGGAGACAGTCCCGGGCTGAGTCTCCACCATGAACCGCCTCCCCCCACTACTCCTGCTGCTGCCGCTGCTCCCGCTGCTCCTGCTGCTGCTCCTCCGCACTTGACGCATCCCGTCCGAACTCCGAGCGGCTCCGCTGCGGCTGCAGCTGCACCGAGGAGACGTTCCACACGGTTTAAGGCACCGGAGCTGCTGAAGGACGAATGACACCGGCGGATCACCCCGTGATTTCATCCCGCTGAAAGTAAGCTGCTGCCGCTGAGCCACTTGATCCATGGCGTCTCAACAACAGTCCAGGATCCAGTCCTACCTGGAGAAGAACAAGATCGGACCCTTGTTCGAGGTGAGTCCGGATCATGCACCAACACAGGAACTCCACACTCATCAGTCTGATCTTTTCTCTGCACTTGTTTAAACCGGACCAGTGTGGTCTGTTCAATGATGAAGATTTACTACAGACCAAATGAGGAAGACTCTTTTTTGTCCACACAGTTATTAATAAAAAAGTGCTGCCTTTTAGAACAAGAACAGATTTACTACAGTAAATGGTGTGTACTGTGTTCCATGGACAGTGGCATCGAGCAAGGGATTTTACTACACTACCGTCTGCAGGGTGTTGTGCAGACGGTGAGTTTGGAATTGAACCCACAACCTGGTTAAAACACAATTGTTTGTTTTACAGCGAGCCCAAACAAACACACGCGCTCTATATTTGTGCATGATAAAAAAACCTTTAGGTCATGATGTTATAGACCAGAGACAAGGGTTAGTCAGAAAGTTCCAGGACAAAGATGTTTCTCCACATATTCCTCGTTTGATGTAATTCGTTTTCTGTTTCTGTCTAAATTCCTTCTTTTTAGAATTCTAAGGAACGTCTTCGTGCTCATGGTTGCAAATTCAGTTCTCTCAGTTTTGGGGAAAGACAAATCAGATGATTCCAGCTAAAAATCTGCCGATCTTCTTCAACTTTAATCATTTTTAAAAGATTTCCATTCCAGACTGGTGAATATGTTTCTTTTGATGTTGGCTGCAGTTGAAAATGTGATCTAAAAGGCAAAACACAGCTGATTGCTTGACAGAAATATAGTATATTATTGATAAAACTTGTCAAAGCAGTTGTAGAACTGTCTAATTAGGTCCATCTAATCTGACAGCCTTTAATATTTGAACATCTGACCTGATTTTTAACCTGGTGTTTATGGATGCAGATTATGGTTCTAATGGGAAGCTGGTTATGAAAGTGTGTATTGATTTTAGTGCCAGAATATATATATATTACATATATATATTTACTAGTAGTGGTACTGCCTCTCAGTGTTAAAAAGCAGGTATTTATCATCATATCATTTTGATTTTGCGTTGCTAACTGTGTGCACCAAAGTCACCTGCATTACAACAGTACCATGTTTCTATTGGACAGTAGAGATTGTCCACTAATTTTGACTATCATCGTACTTATGATAGAAGGTACTATGTGTACCAGAGTCTGTGACTCCTGGTTGCTCCTGGTTCTTGTCCTGGGAGTGTTAGAAAAGGACTGAAGTGTGTTCGAAGAAATGCTTCAAGGAATTGATGATTGGTGTTAATGGAAACCCTTGATTTTGAAAAAATGACACAACAATATGAGACTGAGTCTTTCTCTGTTCTCATCGCATAAAGAAAGTCATGCAGAAAGGAGGTTTTATACTTAGGCCATCAGTGTGATTAAGTTGGCAGAAGGGTTGATTGATGCAGAAAAGAAATTCTCAACAGTGGTCTGTGTGTGTGTGTGTGTGTTTCTCAATGTGGTGTGTGATAATTGCTCTGCTTTGTTTGTGAAAGCGAGAAGAAAAAAAATCTCCACCTCCTGTGATCAGCCAGTGCACGTCAGGCAGCACGACTTTCTGAACTCTTTAACTCTGGTTGTTTACTCTCCCGGTTCCTGCTCTGACAGAGTGAACTGTTGATAAATCCCACTAATGTGTCAGAGCCGATCAGAGGAGGCTGAGGAAGATGAAACATGCTAGACGTTCTGTCAGGACAGCGTGTGTCGTCCCAGATGGGATCTTGAGTGTCCTTTGTTGTGACCCACTCCAGAGGAGGAAATGACAGAGTGGTCAGGGGGATGTGTCCAGAATGTCTTCGTTTGTTGGACAAGACTGTTAGCATGTAGCGTCCTGTTTGACCTTGTGATTCGACCCATTATGTTTTTACCTGTCGTGTCTAATACAGTTCAGTAAAAATGTTCCCATGATGAGGCTCAAACTGGTGGGTTGTGGCCCAGTTTAGATCAGACTACAATAACAGAACGTTTTAACAGAAACCAATATGTCATCATTCTTCTATATAAAAATGAAGAGAAAAATAGTTTAGCACATTTTCACAATATTACTGTGTTTTTGTAGGTACAAAATTAATAATGTGACTAAAGTTTGGACCGCATTGATATTGATGGAAAATTGAAAGTAGGCGACACGGTGGAGGAGTGGTTAGTGCTAAAGCCTAACAGCAAGAAGAGCCAAGGTTTGATCAGTTTCCAGTCTCCCATAAAAATAAAAACTATAAAAACACGTTTAAAACAAACATGAAATAAAAATCCACAAATTCAAATTTCTCATGATTTTCTGATGTGAATTAATGCAAAAATTCTAACATAAAAAAAATCCATCCAATTAAAACTGGTTCCTTAATAATGAGGCTCTGCTCTGGTAAAAGGCAAAACAGCAGAATCTCTGGCATCACCTGGGGAAACTGGGCTCCACCGTGACGACTGTAGACTGTAGAGAAACACACACCAGAAGTGAGAGTGTTTGCTGTCCCTTCCTCATGATTAGCCCATCAATCAGCTAATGTCTGAGGATGGTGACGTCGTCTGCCGCCGCCTGACTCATCGCTCGTTCAGTCAGTGGACGTCTGAGAAGTCAGCTGTGAGCCAGGACACACTTTTCTCTGCCTCCACTAACTACCCGTCTGTTTGTCAGTCGTGGGACCTCGTTGCTCATCCGGGGTATTTTCAGCGAGGCCTCGGAGTAACCCATGGGAGAGCATGACTTCATCCTTTGTTTACCGTTGGATTTATTGCCGTGAGCAGGATCACACAGGTGTGAGGTTTAATCACAGCGAAGACAGGAGTGTGAAAATCCCCCCGGCTTTTCAGTTTGACACCTTTAAAGCTCTCTGCTCGTCTGTCAATCTGGTTTAAAACAATTACAGCAAAAATTGGTCAAATTTCTATTGAAAGAGTGGAGCTGCAGTAGAGGGCGCTGTGCTCTGTGTTTGTGCCAAAAAGTGCTGATGTTTCAAACGCAGCACCAACATGCAATGGAGAGACAGAAACGTCAGTCAGCGCTGAGTGGTTTTTGTTTCAGCACCACGGACAGCGTATATTTCCTAACATACAGTAGATTTTAACCCAGGATTAAGACAGAAAAGTCCACAGAGGCTCAGTGGCACGTCTGACAGTCAGCTGTGTGCCCTCCCTCTGTTTGTTTTTCCTAACTCTATCTCTCTCCCTCCACCTGTCTCCCCCTTCTGCCTCACCGCCTCATTTCCCCTCCGCCTGTTTTCCCTCCACTCCTGCTCCTGTGCGCAGCTCCGGCTGCGTCTCCTTCGTGTGACAGTTGAAGCTGATTAAAGCGAAGTGCTTTAAGGTGACTTTAAAAGGTTCGCTGTGAATATACTGACTGGAGATAAAAAATGTGTGTTTTTATCAAGGGAGAGGAAAGTAACTTTCAACGCTGTAAAAAATGAAGTGTGGGCATTTCTGGGCCATTTGTATCCAATATATATATATATTTTATACTTGATGAATGGATAAACACCCCAAAGGTGTATTGCCAAAATTCTACCAAATACAAACGTTTACAGTTCATCAGCAAATGGAAAATATTTGTCTAAGCATTTTTTTTCTTTGTTTGTTTTTGTTACAACTCCACCCTTTCACCACTGGGGTAATGACAGACAGTAGGTCAAATTAAGAAAACAGACGTTTCTGCTGAGACATCAGATAAACCAGGAAATAATGCTTTACTGTCCTAGGTAAAAGTTGGATGACGAGGCCTTGTCACAGCTGTTCCTTGTACTGTTTTGTACAAAAATCATATGAAAAAAAACATATGCTCACAGGCTAAATCGTGAAGCTAGCCTCGATGAGTCTTGTCTTGATGGCACCAGGCATCGGACTGTAAAGTTAGTGTCTAATCCTGCTGTGTGTATGTGAGGTGAACCTGACAGCATTGTTAATTTAGAGCAGCGTGAGAACAGAACATACATGACTCCCTCCTGGGAACGTGTCAGTGTTCTCATGAAAGAATGACGAGGGTGCGATGCCGGCGCTGCGTTTGAAAAACCTTTGCCGTTTCAATGTTGCTTCAAAAGAAAATCCATCCGTGCGCTCGGCGGTTGTGAAGCGGCACGTCTGGGGAAACGAGGAATCCAGGAGCGAGGCAGGAATTGTTTTTTGTAATTTTCTTTTTTGATCAAATGCAGAGAGCTGTGATCTTACATCTGTTCTGCTGCACTGCTCGAATCAAAAGAAGCTCAGTCAAACTTTTGAAGGCAGTCAGACATCACCATATCCAAAAACAGTAAAAAAATGACTTAAAAAAGTTTGTCATTTTACTGACAAGAAGCATGGTGATTTAATGAAAACTGCATTCTTTACATTTTTACATATTCTTTGCATCTTTACAGTTGAACTATAAATCACCATCAGACTTAATTGTTGTCATCGTTAGTGAGAATGAAGTTCAACTTGCACTGATCTGGAATCAGCTTTAAAATGACTTCCAGTCTCACCTTTGGCTCCTTTTGTTCATTTATTTAAAGAAACTGTGCAGATTTTCTCACTACATTGTATCTGAGATATACTGTAATACAGTAGACCTGGTACTGCAGTAGCCGCTGGCTCTTTAATCCATACCTCATGAACTCTCTGGGTTTTTCACTGGGTAAACTGCACTTACTGTAATCAATTACCTGACCAGGAAACCCCACCTTCCCTCACCTCCCTCCCACTCATCCACAGGCCCCGTGTCCCCCTCCTTGTACTGCACACACACAGCTGCAGCCGTACTGTAGTATTAAAAGCTACACATTACAGCCAACAGAGAAGAATCAACTCTATCCCAGGAACACAGACACAGACTTTGATTTGCCAGAGAACTGATTGAATTCTTTTTTTTTTTTTTGCCTCCCTCTTCTGCTCTCACTAATGAAATGGTTGCTTTTCGGAGATATCCTGCTGAGTCGACAGTATCTGAATGTGATCTTAGAAACCTGAGCTGCCTTTCATCATAATTGCAGTGACTGTGCCCTGGATTATTGTCAGCTGCTTCATATCAAACACCTCCTCTTGATGGTTGA